TCTCAATACAAATATCTCACCTTACTTCCAAAGTACATTGCTTGCTATCTGACCGCTTACTATGTTGAAAAGAAGCCATTTTAGCGAGTTATCCATTTCTAGGTTTACTCATAAAAGAAGCACAAGGTTGCACACTCCATTACCGAATGCCCGATTCGAGAAGCGAAACTCCAACCTCAAGATTACTAGGCGGCCACAAGAGGTTTCCTTTCACTTTGAGATCTTTCATTATCTCCCCAGCTTCTTTTTGCTTCGGCCACTATTAATATTGGATGAGTTTGAGCACGAATTATCTAAACCGAAGCAGAAGGCTGTGGCAAGTAACACAGACACGAGGTTTGATAATTCATAACAAAATGCGAGAACCGAATTCACTAATTGTTTTATTATAAACTTTTTAAACAATCTGAAAAAGAAGACACTTCTGTTTGAGTTCGCAAATATTCGAGAACTCGATCGAACATGATTAATGCAGTATGGGTTATCATGTTAACTTCACGCGCTATTGTAAATAGTTGAACGAATGCTCCCGACTAATCAATTTTTCATTATAAGTCTAAAGCATAATAATAGCTATTAAGAGCCTCATCTTAAGCCGAAAATGTTCTGTCAATTGGGAGCATAATTATGGTCGGTATCATTTACGTCTTCTAGAACTTTTATATCTCAGTGACGGAGGTCTTCAAATAACATATTTCTTCAGGAATTTCTAAATAAAACCGGTGACTTTCTCATCAAACAATTTCGCTTGAATCCTAAACTTTAATTTTCATCGTAGATTTAAACCCGTTTCCTCCATACAGGAACTTATTGTGAGACACCTGTTTTGCTCCAGATTATTAAAGCCATTAAAAACTTCAAATTCCGCTGAAAAGGTTATTTTTAACCCGGATTGATTGCTTCCAGAAATATTTACCCAAGCATCCGCAAATAAATCCAGCGACTTTTCCTTTGCAAGAGTTAGTTGACGCCCCCCCCCCTTTCGTGGTATACTGCTCTATACTGTCATTTATATCTGCGTAAATTATGGGAAAAAAAAAAAAAAAAAAAAAAAAACAAATCTTGGGTAATTTGAAGGCGTTGATACAAAGGCCAAGGTCTGAGTGTTTCAAGATAATTTTCAACAAACAAAACAAATAAAATTTGAAACTGTCACCTTAAAGTTTAGATAATAGAAAAAGGTTTACTCAGCTGTTTGATAATTTTCTTCATTTTAACCTCAATATCAAAAATTTACTTTTCTCGGCCGTTGAGTTTGTTGAGATCCTTTCAGATCTTTCCATAAGTTAACGAAGTGTCATATTTAGAAGTTTTTTTTTTTTTTCATTTCAAAAAAGGTCGAGCATTTGGAATCATTACTCCCAGATAATACATCAATTTTTACGCACGGTTGGGAGCTCTCTATGCAGTAAGAGAACAACTCTGGAAAAATCTAATTATTTTTTCCATTAAGAAGAGTGATCGAAAGTCTTGGCAAGTTAATTTAAACTGCAGAGCGAAGAGGCGCCCAACAGGCAACGGAGGTAAGAAAATCTAAAAGAACTCAATCGTTAAAGCTCTTGTACAAACCGAATATCATTCTTATTTAGTAACAAAGGAACAACTGTCAGTTTAGTGACAAATAAACTAAACGAAACAAATCACGGAAGATATAAAATTTTCCTTAAAGTTTTCAGAAGTGGAGGCGTGAAATAGATTTAGCTTTGTGCGCTCGTCGAAAGCATTCCTCCGGAATTTTTCTCTTTCTAATCGGATATGGATACTTCTCATAAGCTCCCTTTTTTCGTTTCAGAAAATTTGGCCCAAACATATTTTTCCGGTTCCTATTTTCCAAACAGGTGGTTTGGGCGTAAAAGGACAGAGAGTAACAGTAAACTGGTACAAGACGTCATTCTATTGGTAAGAATATGTTTTCCTTGTATCCTTCCTGTCAGATAGATGTTTAACAACCAAAAAATGGCAGTTATAAAACTTTCTGTTCATAAAATAGTTCGAGACGAAGATTGGTTTCGTTGATCCAACGAAACAAATAATGATATAAGCGTAATCAAAATAGTGAAACCTGCGATTTCGCTTTCTTTAACACAGTCGGCCCAAACGGTAAAATGTATTCGCATTGTAAAACTTGCTATAAAACACCTCGAGTTTCTCCATGCACCATGAATAATTGATCGAAAGTTGCTAGAAATACTCGACGAGAGGATTAGATGTTTTCGAAAGGGAATTATTTTTGAAGTGGAACATATCCTCAGATAGGTACGAATTCTTGGAGGAAGCAGCGTTTTCGACAGGAAGCTACCTTAGAGTGTACATTGTTTGCCATGTGGCGTCTGCGCTACGGCTTTATATGACATTACAATCATTCGTCAACTCAGACATTCGTAGGAGAGGCTTGGACGGTCCACAATTAAACCTGCTCTCGCAAAGGGTCACGTGTGCTTTGATAAAAGGAATTCCGCACCTGAGAAGTGATAACCATGTTGGCAAAAACGTAATACCAGTATTACAGCATGGTATAAGGGGAAACAAGTGGGGCAGCCAGTTGTAATACTCACGGTCCTTGCCTGAACGTGCATCATGTGCTGAATTTGGAAGAATCGTCAGACACGCAAGCGGAAGACTTGTGACGAACAGAATCCTTTTCAACAGTGTGTGACGTATTTTGCCTTAAAATGCGGCGGAAAGGAACTCCGTCCAAATCGAGAACAAATAAAAATTCAATTCAATACATTTTCACGATATTTCAGTGGTCACCTCTGCCTCACCCACTAAATGATCGCAAAATAAAACGTCGTGAAGTCGCAAATCAGATGCATTTATGAAATATGACTTTTGATAAGACAGATGTAATACAGAGCAAAGAAAGAAATTACAAATGTAATTATATTTCTTATCTCTAAATTTTAGCTGCGCTGCGTTAGTGTGCAGCTCTATGGAAACACACCCAGCTATGCTTGTAAACCGAGGAATGTTCGGACACCATAGTGGATGTAAAACTCTGAGTCCCCGTTTTTTTTTTCTTTCGCTAAGAAAAAAAAATGAATAATAAGGTAGCTAGGTAATAATTGGATGTAAATTATCATTTATGGTTGCTAAATTAAAACTGGCCTTCACGAATTATTAATTAGAGAGCAATATGACGCCCTTCTAAATAGCATTGGAGTGCTTCAGTCAACTTTTGAAACAATGGAAAGATCTTCACTATATTATGGTTTGAGAGCTGATACTCGTATTAGAAAAAAACATACAAACAAAAGAGGTAAAAAAATCGGCGCACGAATTAAAGATTAAAATTAATACAAATATTGATATTCTATACGATAGGTGATAAAATCAATTTATCATTAAATGAATTTCTCTTTTACTTTGTTTTATCCGTTCTTAGAAACTATGGTTGCGGCGGAACCTGCACTCCTCATGGCACTGTTTTTGGCAATTTATTTAAAAGAACTGAATGGAAATTCCGGTGCCTTAGCTACACAAGGTGGGAAATGACTTTGTTGTTGCTACTTTAACGAATGGTTTCTTTGGGCCAAATCAGTCGGGTTCATTACTTTAATGTGATCAGTCATTTCATTTGTGGGGAACGGAAAACTGACTTAAATTTTCCTTGATGTAACATGTTGCTTTGCAACTCGTAACATGCTGTAATAATGATTATAATATTAATGGCAACAATAATAAATAAAAAATAATAACAATAATTATAACGGAAAGAAAAATCTTTATTTCAAGGGCTAAAATCTATTTATAATGGAATCTATAATTCTATATTTTTATATATGTCGATAACAATAAAATTTTAATATATAAATACATTGCTAATATGTTTGCTAAGGAAAAATAACATAAGATTTGATAAAAACGCTGTTGAATTTGATTGAAATAAGTAAGATTTATCTAGGCTAAAATATATCAATAACAAATAAAAGGCAGACATTAAAAATGTAAAATTGGCGATAAAAAGACCCAAGAGATGGCTCCTTCAATAACGTCAATACCAATGTGATTGTTCTTCGTGTCACGCTGAACTTTGATAATGTTCCTGGAGCCTCTTCAACAGACAAGAGCAGATCGCAAAAGCGCAAACGAAACTTGGACTCTTACCCAGGCGGTGGCTGTGGAATATTGCTTTTCTTTCTTTGAGGCAATGCGCTCTGCCAATTAACAATGAAACATAAGGCATTATTTCCACACCCCACCCGTTGTCGTAAAAACCAGTGGGGTTAATGTTCCCCGTTCCACATCAAGCACTCTTCTAAAACACTGGCGCTTTTTCTCGTTCTCATGTATCCGATAGACCAGTTGGGTTTCCATGTTCCGGTACGAGTCGGCACTAGCTAGGGTGACAAACCCTCACATCAAATAATAATAGCAATTATAATACTACTACTAATAATAGTAGTATTATTAAAATTTTTACATTTCTCAATATCAGTCTTTAATTCTTTATTTCTATATTTTAACCTAGATAAATCTTACCTTTTTCAATCAAAGTCCTCAGACTTTTAAATATATTTAACGTTTTTTTCGTAAGCAAACATATTAGTAACGTATTTATATTTAAAATTTTATTGTTATCGACACATGTAAAAAATATAGAATTATAGATTCCATTGTAAACAGATTTTAGCACTTGAAATAAAAATATTTCTTTGCATTATTAAAAAAAAAAAATAGACAATGATAATGATGTATTGATAGCGGAGCTCGCAGAGCGTAGCCCCATAATTATACAAAATAGTAGTAACCCATCAAACCGAAAAAATTTGGATGTACGACCGCACGACCGTTTAAGGTGCTACTTTTAACATGTGTGGTCAACTGTACCGCGGGAACACCAACGCCACAGCTTTGTTCAGTAGTCCAGTGGTCAGTGCACTGGTCAGGGTACTAGTTCTAGCCGGGGCAAGGCGTTGTACCCTTGAGACGTGCGGGAAATAAAATGCGAGCTCCGCTTTTAGGCTTGGCTTAATCTATATATTACTATTATTTCTTCAGAATGTGGCGTTTTGGTAAACAGCAGATTGAAAAGTCCGGGATATCCATTTAGCTATCCAGCAAATATGGATTGTGAATACTCTATTCCTATTCCACCCGGAGGGCCGATGAGAATACACTTCGTTGACTTTGATGTGGAGTATCACTCATCATGCAGGTAAGATAGTCCTCTCTGCCACGAGTTCAACATTTTTCATCGTAGGCAGCCGGTCCAAGAGTTCTCTGTCTGCTATTATGTTTTGCATGCTAGTCTTACAAAATGAGCTTCATAAAAAATTCAAACAAAGGCAGATGATGTAGCTGAAGCAAACTTTACAGCACTCGTCCAAAAAATACAAGGAAAACTTCCTTCAAACCTTCGTATCATTAGACAAGAAAATCGTCCGTAGTCTCTGTTACTTTTCTCTAGATTAGAAACAAGAAGCTTCATCCTCAGCTGTGCCGCGTGGTTTCAAATTAGCTTAAGTACTTTTAACGTCGTTTCAGCTATCAGTTGATCTTTAAAATTGCACTTTTATTCTTTCAGTCTATCTTTGTTGAAGATTAATTATAGTCGAGTTAACTCAATCAAGATACTGTCTTTCTGTGAATAAAATCTTCGATTAATATTTTCTTCATTGTAGCTATGACTTTGTGAAGATTGCTAATGATCAGAACTATACCTTTGGTAAATACTGTGGTCGGAGGACTGGAGAGAGAGTTGCAGTTTATGGAAACTTCGCCAATATAACATTCCATTCAGACCCCTATGTCGAAAAAAGAGGATTCTTCTTCCACTTCAAAACGGTTTCCCCTGGTTTGTATAGTTATTAGGATGGAAATATCTCAAAATGTTTAATGAAGTGGTGTCAGTGTGATGTTATCTAAAAAGAGAGAAACAAAATAACTATGTAACTGACATGGAGTTTTTGTCAGTGGCATTAATGAACCTCTCACGGATGATGGCAACTGTATCCTATGGGTATTCACATGATTTCGAGAGCAATTTAGAAAAAAATCAGCATGAGTAAGTTTTTAAAAGCTAACAAAATTGCATAAGCCCTTCGGGAGAGTTCAATTCGTGGTCTATGAAAACGTTACGAGTGCTGATTTATCCCAATTTGCACGAGATAAAATCGTGTGATTACTTGTTAATAATAATAATATATGCAAAAAGTTGACGCAGTTTTCATTGGTGCGTCCATTTACCTTTGTGCTGTTTCCAGTGTCGTGGGGGTCCTTCCGCAAGAGTCAGCTTCAAGCTTTTAAACTTTCTGTCAGGAATAACTGAGTATTTGCGATCTTTCTCAGTTAGAATTCGCCTTAAAAGAAGGCTATCACTCTCGTAATTTTATCCCTCTGGCTTTCGTACTAACTTTAGTGTAAACCCCGATATAACTTTGTTCAGGGCCTCCAGTTCTCATCTTTTAAAGATTTTTTGGCTTTTATGGGAGCCGAAGACTTACCGACATTTAACCAGTTGTTTGCACTTTGCTGGAAGTTTTCGATTTTAATCAAGACGTCAGATATTGAGAAATGTAAAATTGGCGATAAAAAGAGCTAAGAGATGGCTCCTTCAATAGCGTCAATACCAAAGTGATTGTTCTTCGTGTCACGCTGAACTTTGATGTTCCTGGAGCCTCTTCAACAGACAAGAGCAGATCGCAAAAGCGTAAAAGAAACTTGAGCTCTTATCCAGGAGATGGCTGTGGAATATTGCTCTTCTTTCTTCGAGGCAATGAGCTCTACCAATCTACAATGAAACCTAAGGCATTATTTCCCCACCCCACCCGTTGTCGTAAAAACCAGTGGGATGAATGTACCCTGTTCCACATCATGTATTCTTCTAGAATACTGGCGCTTTTTCTCGTTCTCGTGTATCCGATAGACCAATTGGGGTTCATGTTCCGGTACCAGTCGGTATTAGGGTGACAAACCTTCACATCAAATAATAATAACAATTAAAATACTATTTCTAATAATAGTAGTAGTTTTATTACAATTTTTACATTTCTAAATATTAGCCTTTAATTCTTTATTGTTATATTTAAGCCTAGATAAATCTTACCTTTTTCAGTCAAAGTCCTCAGACTTTTAAATATATTTAACGTTTTTTTCCTAAGCAAACATATTAGTAACGTATTTATATTTAAAATTTTATTGTTATCGACACATGTAAAAAAATAAAGAATTATAAATTCCATTGTAAATAGATTTTAGCACTTGAAATAAAAATATTTCTTTGCATTATTTAAAAAAAAAACATAGAAAATCATAATGATAGCGAAGCTCGCAGAGCGTAGTCCCATAATTATACAAAATAGTAGTAACCCATCAAACCGAAAAAATTTGGATGTACGACCGCACGACCGCACAAGGTGCTACTTTTAACATGCATGGTCAACTGTACCGCGGGCACGCCAACGCCACGGCTTTGTTCAGTAGTCCAGTGGTCAGTGCACTAGGCTCCTAGTCGGACGACCCGGGTTCTAGTTCTGGCCGGGGCAAGGCGTTGTGCCCTTAAGACGTGCGGGAAAAAAAAATGCGAGCTCCACTTTTAGGCTTGGCTTAATCTATATATTACTATTATTTCTTCAGAATGTGGCGTTTTGGTAAACAGCACATTGAAAAGTCCGGGATATCCAGTTGGCTATCCAGCAAATATGGATTGTGGATACTCTGTTCCTATTCCACCCGGAGGGCCGATGAGAATACACTTCGTTGACTTTGATTTGGAGCTTCAATCATCATGCAGGCAAGATAGTCCTCTCTGCCACGAGTTAAACATTTTTCTTTGTAGGCAGCCGGTCCAAGAGTTCTGTGTCTGCTATTAGTCTTGCATGCCTAGCAAAATGAGCTTCATAAAAAATTCAAACAAAGGCAGATGATGTAGCTGAAGCAAACTTTACAGCACTCGTCCAAAAAATACACGGAAAACTTCCTTCAAACCTTCGTATCATTAGACAAGAAAATCGTCCGTAGTCTCTGTTACTTTTCTCTAGATTAGAAACAAGAAGCTTCATCCTTAGCTGTGCCGCGTGGTTTCAAATTAGCTTAAGGACTTTTAACGTCGTTTCAGCTATCAGTGGATCTTTAAATTGCACTCTATCCTTTCAGTCTATCTTTGTTGAAGAGTAATTATAGTCGAGTAAACTCAATCAAGGATAATGTGTTTCTGTGAAGAAAATCTTCGATTAATATTTTCTTCATTGTAGTTATGACTTTGTGAAGATTGCTAATGATCAGAACTATAACTTTGGTAAATACTGTGGTCGGAGGACTGGAGAGAGAGTTACAGTTTATGGAAACTTCGCCTTTATAACATTCCATTCAGACCCCTCTGTCGAAAAAAGAGGATTCGTCTTCCACTTCAAAACACCTGGTTTGTATAGTTATTAGGATGGAAATATCTCAAAATGTTTAATGAAGTGGTGTCAGTGTGATGTTATCTAAAAAGAGAGAAACAAAATAACTATGTAACTGACATGGATTTTTTTTTTTTCAGTGGCATTAATGAACCTCTCACGGATGATGGCAACTATATCCTATGGGTATTCACATGATTTCGAGAGCAATTTAGAAATAAATCAGCATGAGTAAGTTTTTTAAAAGCTAACAAAATTGCATAAGCCCTTCGGGAGAGTTCAATTCGTGGTCTATGAAAACTTTACGAGTGCTAATTTATCCCAATTTGCACGAGATAAAATTGTGTGATTACTTGTTAATAATTCGCTTTAAAAGAAGGCTATCATTCTCGTAATTTAATCCCTCTGGCTTTCGTACTAACTGTAGCGTAAACTCCGATATAACTTTGTTCAGGGCCTCCAGTTCTTACCTTTTAAAAATTTTTGCCTTTTTTGGGAGCCGAAGACTTACCGACATTTAACCAGTTGTTTGCACTTTGCTGGAAGTTTTCGATTTTAATCAAGACGTCAGATATTGAGAAATGTAAAAATTGGCGATAAAAAGACCTAAGAGGTGGCTCCTTCAATAACGTCAATACCAATGTGATTGTTCTTCGTGTCACGCTGAACTTTGATGTTCCTGGAGCCTCTTCAACAGACAAGAGCAGATCGCAAAAGCGCAAAGGAAACTTGAGCTCCTATCCAGGAGATGGCTGTGGAATATTGCTTTTCTTTCTTTGAGGCAATGAGCCCTGCCAATCTACAATGAAACCTAAAGCATTATTTCCCCCACCCCACCCGTTGTCGTAAAAACATGTGGGGTTAATGTTCCCTGTTCCCCATCAAGTATTCTGCTAGAATACTGGCGCTTTTTCTCGTTCTCATGTATCCGATAGACCAATTGGGTTTCCATGTTCCGGTACGAGTCGGCATTAGGGTGACAAACCTTCACATGGAATAATAATAAAAATTATAATACTATTACTAGTAATAGTAGTTTTATTATAATTTTTACATTTCTAAATATTAGCCTTTAATTCTTCATTGCTATATTTCAGCCTAGATAAATCTTACCTATTTCAATCAAAGTCCACAGACTTTTAAATATATTTTACGTTTTTTTTCCTAAGCAAACATATTAGTAACGTAATTTTATCGTTATCGACACATGTAAAAGATATAGAATTATAGATTCCATTATAAATAGATTTAAGCACTTGAAATAAGAATATTTCTTTGCATTATTAAAAAAAATATATAGACAATTATAATGATGTACTGCTACTACTGTTTCTTCAGAATGTGGCGTTTTGGTAAACAGCACATTGAAAAGTCCGGTATCCATCTACCTATCCAGCAGACATGGTTTGTGAATACTCTGTTCCTATTCCACCCGAAGGACCAATGGGAATATATTTCGTTGACTTTGATGTGGAGTTTCAATCATCATGCAGGCAAGATAGTCCTCTCTACCACGAGTTAAACATTTTTCTTTGTAGGCAGCCGGTCCAAGAGTTCTCTGTCTGCTATTATGTTTTGCATGCTAGTCTTGCAAAATGAGCTTCATAAAAAATTCAAACAAAGGCAGATGATGTAGCTGAAGCAAACTTTACAGCACTCGTCCAAAAAATACCAGGAAAACTTCCTTCAAACCTTCGTATCATTAGACAAGAAAATCGTCCGTAGTCTCTGTTACTTTTCTCTAGATTAGAAACAAGAAGCTTCATCCTTAGCTGTGCCGCGTGGTTTCAAATTAGCTTAAGGACTTTTAACGTCGTTTCAGCTATCAGTTGATCTTTAAAATTGCACTTTTATTCTTTCAGTCTATCTTTGTTGAAGAGTAATTATAGTCGAGTAAACTCAATCAAGATACTGTCTCTCTGTGAATAAAATCTTCGATTAATATTTTCTTCATTGTAGCTATGACTTTGTGAAGATTGCTAATGATCAGAACTATACCTTTGGTAAATACTGTGGTCGGAGGACTGGAGAGAGAGTTGCAGTTTATGGAAACTTCGCCTATATAACATTCCATTCAGACCCCTCTGTCGAAAAAAGAGGATTCTTCTTCCACTTCAAAACGGTTTCCCCTGGTTTGTATAGTTATTAGGATGGAAATCTCTCAAAATGTTTAATGAAGTGGTGACAGTGTGATGTTATATAAAAAGAGAGAAACAAAATAACTATGTAACTGACATGGAGTTTTTGTCAGCGGCATTAATGAACCTCTCACGGATGATGGCAACTATATCCTATAGGCATTCACATGATTTCGAGAGCAATTTAGAAAAAAATCAGCATGAGTAAGTTTTTTTAAAAGCCAACCAAACTGCACGAGCCCCTGGGGAGAGTTCAGTTCGTGGTCTATGAAAACTTTACGAGTGCTGATTTATCCCAATTTGCACAAGGTAAAATCGTGCGATTACTTGTTAATAATAATATATATGCAAAAAGTTAACTCAGTTTTCATTGGTGTACTGTTTCCAGAGTTGTGGGGTCCTTCCGCAAGAGTCAGCTTCAAGCTTCTAAACTTTCTGTCAGGAATAACTGAGTATTTGCGATCTTTCTCAGTTAGAATTCGCTATACAAGAAGGCTATCACTCTTATTTTAATCCCTGTCTTTTGTACTAACTGTAGCGTAAACTCCGATATAACTTTGTTCAGGGCCTCCAGTTCTTACCTTTTAAAAATTTTTGCCTTTTTTTGGGAGCCGAAGACTTACCGACATTTAACCAGTTGTTTGCACTTCGCTGGAAGTTTTTGATTTTTAATAAAGACGTCATTACTTCCCCCCTAACCTGTACGCCATTTTGTTTTTATGTGCTTTCGCGACTTTCCTACCAATCAATTTATTTAAACTTTCAACACTTTATGGGATAAATCGACGTGTCTTTAACCAATAAGCAACCTGAATTTTTTTTTCATATATGTTATTATAAAACAAATCCGGAGAAATGTCTTGTACTACCAACTTAGTCTGACCACTAACTTTTTTGCATTTCATTGTCTTATGTAACTTGTCTTTAGAACCGCCCAAAATAACCTTACCTGCCGTTGTGGAAGCTCACCCAAGTTACAGAGTGTCGATTCCAGTGACTGGAACTCTACCGATATACACAGCAATAATAAGAAACTCTACTGTGTTGGTAAACACAACCTATACTGCAGCCTTTCAGTTCTATAAGGAGTCAAATTGCACCTCTGTTGCCTTTAACAAGTATGGATATGATGTAAGAGAGTTCTCTGTGATTTTTAAAGGTAAGGAAATTTCATAAATCTAAGAATATGACGCATCTTAAAATAGGGTTCTGAAAATTCTATCCTTACAATCGAACCTGTATTAACCCTTCACTACAACAAGGACGTACTGAGTAGGTCATGTGCCATATTACTCGTATGCTGTAAGGACGTACGCAGTACGCCCTAAATCATAGTACTTGTATGAATACTTCCGCAAGTTGTACAAACAATCAAACTGCAAACAATTAAACTCACGGGGAATGGCGTGGTGACCGCTAAATACAGGTTAACTGCTTAATACAGGATATTCAGATGAGCGGTATTAAAAAAAGATAAACAATGCAACTTTTACCGTAATTGACCAATTAATGTACAGAGTCTCGCTCATAAATACTACTTACTTTGATTTTGGGAGATTTCGGTAGGTACGGTTACCATTATTATTGTACATGAAAAAGATCTTCGCATCAATGAAAACTACTTAAACAGTAGTAAAAATAAGGCCTGAAAAAGGTTTGATCCCATGACCTCTGCGATACCAATGCAGCGCTCCACCAACTGAGTGAAAGTAAAGCCTGAAAGATGTCGCTTTCATATTCATTTTTTTTATCCATAGTCCACATGATTTTTATATATTCACAGTCCTAACTATTATTGCTGCCACCATTACTACTACTGCTACTTATTTTCCCACGCTTGGATTCAACGTCATGACGCTTTGTTTTCAACTTAATGTTAATGGTGTTATTAACTGGAGTTTATTGATCTGGGGACTTCATTTAATAAATTTTGAATCTTTTCCTTTCCCTTACTTTCCTATCTTTCAGATTGTGGACATGCCTGTTCTCCGAGTTTGTACGAAGGCATTGAAAATAAACTCTTCTGCGAGAATGTGACAGCAACACAACTTGAGATGTGTCTTTCGCCGTTGACGGAGAGATTGTAAGAGACTGTGAAAATAAGGCACAGACAAGCTTTTTAGCGCTAACTTGAGTTCTGATTGACAGCGTGCTAATGCACAGGGCACTTCCACACTGACATATGAACCTACAGTAGACTGCATTTTAAAAACTAGACTCATTGTGGACTAGACTAATAATCATCAGTGCTTTGTATTGATAACATTCTTGAGCTCGAAAGCCGTCATTTCCCATTTGAAAACTTTAGGTTGTTTCAGATGAACACCCGATAGATAAAGTTTGAAAAAAAAATCAGTGTGAGTTCTCTCATAGGAAGGTTGAGTAAACAACAACAAAAAATTTGAATTGATAAGTTGATGTTTTCACAGGACTCTGAGGAAGAGTTATATAGACTTCTTATCCGATGAATTGTTTGACGACTTGATCAACCTGGAATACCTGTGAGTTAACACAAGTTCTTCTAGGTTCTAGGTTCCGTCATTTATTGACGTAAATTCTCGCCTTTTAGTTTATTTAAAGCACATATGTTTGCTCAAAAATAAATATAGCGATAATCAATGCCATAAATGTAATTTCGCACCTAACTAGCGTGCGTGCGCCTGGAGGGAGGGGTGTCTTCATTGTTTTCTGATATTAGTTGGCGTCGAGACATCAATGCCAGTGTGACGTCACGTAGAAATATAACAAGCGTTTTGCTTGGTTTGCTCTGTTTAGCGAGGGGAAGCTAGCAGTAGCGAACACAGAGAAGGCAAATACAAGCTAGCATCGGGTTATTACCTAATTTGCGAAATAATTGTTTTGGATTGTTGTTATGTTATCATTTTACAAAAATTGCTTAATTTCTCCATCCAGGTTTTCTATTTAGCATGATGGCTGGGTAAATATTAAAGTAGGCGACAACCGTGTCTTTTGTTGGCATAATTGGCAAATTCCACACATTTGCCTTAGCAACTATAACGGATTTGACAATGACAGCGCGCGTCACATCCCAATTTCATTATAAATAGTATTACAAAGTGCTGCTGCTCATTGACAAGCTCGAGGACACCACATTTTATATTTCAAAACTTTAAGTTGCTACAAGATAAACAACCGATAAGTAAAGTTTGAAATAAAATATCACTGCAGGCACTACCACAGAGGAATGACTGCATAAAATTAACTTATAGGAATTTGAAAATCTCAACCAATAAAAGAGTTTATTTTAATGAGTAGGTGTTTTTACAGGAAATGCTGTCTAAAAATGTAACATTTTTTACGTGAGGGATTGTTTGACAACTTGATCAACCTGTATGGCCTGAAAGTCAACACGTGATTATCCACTGAATATACTAAATTTGAGAGGCTATCTCTGAAAAGCCGAGAGATTAGCCTGGCTGCAATTCTTGGTTTAATTTGTGCCCTTTTTGAGGTCATTTCGCAATTTTACATCGCACATACTTACTGCGTAACTAACGTACACATTAAAGAAATGGGGTCTTTTTCTCTATGGTCAGATTTTCCGGAAAAGTAAATCGTCCCTTTTACTAACAAACAAGTGCGGTGACCAAAAATGTTTTTTTTTTCATGGAATTAAGGAAATACTCTTTTCGATAAAAAAAACAAAACCCATTTTCAATATGGGAAAAATTAGAAAGATTTTAGCAAGTACTCAAAATATTATTGCCCTAAAATTATCAATTTTTATGGCTATCTATAAAGAACTGCTGCTCCTTAACAAGCCCTAAAATTACCTTCTCATATGTAAAAAACTGTATCTTGTCATACGTAAAGAAAATTAGAAAAAAAAAACCAATTGTTCAAGTTTAAAAAAAAAAATACATTTTAGGTTCTTTTTCAAAGGAATAACCAACTGTGAAAAAAATCAATGCATAGAAAATTTGAATAGATCAGTCGATCAAAAATCTTAATTTGTTTATGTTTTTACAGGGAACTGAATGCTAATAATATAACCTTTTTACCTGAGGGATTGTTTGACAACTTGATCAACCTAAAATATCTGTGAGTGAACACGACTTTGTCTTGCTTCTCTAAAAAAATTCAGAGGCTTTCTCTGTAAGAGCCAAGGATCAGCCTAGCTCACATTATAGTGACAACTATAGGGCTCAAACTTAATACTAGTGAGGATAAGTTTACTTACTGACGTCAAATTTCGCTTTCTGTCTTATTTAAAGCAGTAATTTTTAACGAACCCAAGAATAATGATGACCAATGGCAATGGCTTTTTTTATTTTAACTTTTATTCTCTTTATGGAGTAATCTGTGTCCTTTGTAAGATCAATTGGCAATTTTATATTGCACATCCCTACTGTGCAACTAACAAAACATTGACAAAATGGATACTTTTCCTGTAAAGTCGGACTTTTCCAGAAAATTAAATCACCCTTTTACTTGCGAACAGGCGAGGTTACCGAAAATGTGGAAAAAAATTAACAATTATTGCCCTAAAATTCTAAGAATTATATGCCTATCTATAAAGAACTGCTGCTCCTTAACAAGCTCTAAAACTCCCGTTATATGTGTCAAAACTGTTTCTTGTCATATGATGGAAAAAACCATTAGGATGAGATGGAAAAACAAGAAATGATCAGTGACGGGTTCGTTTTAGTTTTCGGAGGAATAAACAACCTTAAAAAAATCGACTCATAGAAAAATTCAAATAGACCAACTGTTAAATAAAATAACTTTTAAGGATCATAATTAACAATAGTTAAAGTTAAGTTCATCGAATGACGTAAAATTTTACTCTATATTTTATTTAAAGCAGTCATTTTTAATTGAACCCAAGAGTAATGATGATCAATAGCATCCAGCTGTCATCTTAACAATATATTTTGGAAAACCGTTATTGGCAAGTAGTCAAATATTATTGTCCTAAAATTATAAAAATTATATAGCTTAGGGTTAAAGAGCTGCTGCTCCTTAACAAGCTCTAAAGCTGGCTTTTTATGTCTTTAAACTATATCTTGTCATAGGATATGAAAAACCCAGGTTTGTTTTCAGAGCAATAACCAGCCTTAAAAACATTAACTCATAGGAAATTTGAATAGATCAATAGTTAAATAAAATAAACTTAATAATTCGATGTTTTAACAGGCTACTGGAGGCTAATAATTTAACGTTTTTACCTGAGGGATTGTTTGACAACTTGATCAACCTGGATATTTTGTGAGTTAACACAAGTTTGTCTAGGTTTTTTAATAAACGAAGAGGCTTTCTCTCTCAAGGATCAGCCTAGCTGAGATTAAACTGACAACTCTATGCTCAAACTTGTTGAAAAAAATTATTTTAACGAGTCGATGTTTTTACAGGGGACTGAATGCTCATAATTTAACTTTTTTACCTGAGGGATTGTTTGACAACTTGATCAACCTGAAAGGGCTGTGAGTTAACATGAGTTCCTCTAAGTTTTGTGATAAATTGTGAGGCTTTTTCTGTAAGAGCCAAGGATCAGTCTAGCTGAGATTATAGTGAAAACACAGGGGCTCAAACTTGTTGAACAAAATTAATTAAGTGAATCGATGTTTTTACAGAGGACTGAATGCTCATAATTTAACTTTTTTACCTGAGGGATTGTTTGACAACTTGATCAACCTGAAAGGGCTGTGAGTTAACATGAGTTTCTCTAAATTTTGTGATAAATTGTGAGGCTTTTTCTGTAAGAGCCAAGGATCAGTCTAGCTGAGATTATAGTGACAACACAGAGGCTCAAACTTGTTGAACAAAATTAATTAAGTGAATCGATGTTTTTACAGGGGACTGAATGCTAATAATTTACCGTTTTCATCTGAGGGATTGTTTGACAACTTGATCAACCTGGAAGTGCTGTGAGTTAACTCGAGTTTGTCAAGGTTTTCAAATAAATTAAGAAGCTTTCACTGTAAGAGCCAAGGATCAGCCCAGCTGAGATTATAGTGACAACACAGGGGCCCAAACTTGTTGAACAAAATTAATTTAATGAGTCGATGTTTTTACAGGGTACTGAAGGCTATTAATTTTCCGGTTTTACCTGAGGGATTGCTTGACAACTTGACCAACCTGAAAATGCTGTGAGTTAACTCAAGTTTGTCTAGGTTTTCTAATAAATTAAGAGGCTTTCTCTGTAAGAGCCAAGGATCAGCCTAGCTGAGATTATAGTGAAAACTCTAGGGCTCAAACGTGTTGAACAAAATTAATTTAATGAGTCGATGTTTTTACAGGGGACTGAAGGCTAATAATTTACCGTTTTTACCTGAGGAATTGTTTGACAACTTGATCAACCTGGAAGTGCTGTGAGTCAACTCAAGTTTGTCTAGGTTTTCTAATAAATTAAGAGGCTTTCTCTGTAAGAGCCAAGGATCAGCCCGGCTGAGATTATAGTGACAATTCTAAGGCTCAAACTCGTTGAACAAATTTACTTTAACGAGTCGATGTTTTTACAGGCTACTGGAGGCTAATAATTTACCGTTTTTACCTGAGGGATTGTTTAACAACTTGATCAACCTGGATAGGCTGTGAGTTAACACGAGTCTGTCAAGCTTATTTAATAAACTTAAGAAGTTTCCTTTCAGGGAACCAAGAGATCTGCCTGAAGTTAGTGGGAGAACGCCATGGCTCAAAATTAATAATGGCGAGGACAAGTTCATTTACTGACGTCATATTTTGCTTAATGTTTTAATTAAAGCAGTCATTTTTAATCGAACCCAAGAATAGTGATGAACTGAATAGCATCCAGCCGTCATCTTGGTGGCTTTTTATTTCAATGGTTATTTTTTTTTGTGGTGTAATTTGTGCCTTTTGGCAATTTTACATTGCACATACTTACTGTGAAACCAGTGTGCACATAAAAAAAAAAGGCAGCTTTTCCTGTATAGTCACTTTTTTCAGAAAAACAAACTCTCCTTTTACTTGCAAACACAGGCGCGGTGGCCGAATATGTGTTTTATTTTTTTGGATTGAAGGAAATACCCCTTTTTCGATTGAAAACAAAAATGAAAGGTGCAGGTTGCTTTTCAGAGGAATAAGCAACTGTAAAAATATAAATTCATAAGAAATTAAAATGGATCAATTGATCATTAAAATAAATTAAGTGAGTCGATGTTTTTACAGGAAACTGGAGGCTAATAGTGTAACCTTTTTACCTGAGGGATTGTTTGACAACTTGATTGACCTGCAAGAGCTGTGTGCTAACTCGAGTTTATCTAGCTTATTTAGCCGCCGTATGTTTGTTTGCTTTATGTGAAGGGCGCCCTCTAACATTTTGCACACAAAGAAAAGTCTTGTTCACAATAAGATGTTCCCAATAAAGTGATGAAATTCTATCCGTTTCTGGTGAGGTGTCTAAAAGACACCTCGTGAAAAAGCGACCGTTGATATAGCATATTTAGTCCAATCTCATTGGCAATTTCCACACGAATGTTAAAGAAAATGTCACGTATTAGATTAAAGTAGTGCTGCGAGAATTTCAGGGAAAAACTTTGATCAGCCCTAGCCCCTTATTCGATTAACAAGTACAAAACCATTCTCAATGTAGGAAAAATGAGCAATACTTTGAAGAGGCGTTTTTAGGAAGTACTCAAAATATTATAGTCCTAAAATCATAAGAATTATATGGCTATCTATAAAGAACTGCTGCTCCTTAAAAAGCTCTCTTTTTGTGTGTCGAAACTGTTTCTTGTCATATGATAGAAAAAACCAATAAGTTGAGTTTGAAAAACAAAAAAATGATTAGTGCAGGTTGTTTTTCAGAGGAATAAGCAACCGTAAAAAACATAAATCATAAAAAAATTAAAAGAAATCAATTGTTAAATAAAATAACCTTAAAAGAGTCAATGTTTTTACAGGGAACTGAAGACCAATAGTGTAGCCTTTTTTTACCTGAGGGATTGTTTGACAACTTGATTGACCTGCAATACCTGTGAGCTAACTAGAGTTTATCTAGCTTATTTAGCCGCCGTATGTTTGTTTGCTTTATGTGAAGGGCGCCCTCTAACATTTTGCATACAAAGACAGTCTTGTTCACAATAAGATGCTCCCAATAAAGAGATGAAATTCTCTCCGTTTCTGGTGAGGTGTCTAAAAGACACCTCGTGAAAGGAAGCGATCGTTGATATAGCATATTTGGTTCAATCTTATCGGCAATTTCCACACGAATGTTAAAGAAAATGTCGCGAATTAGATTGAAGTAGTTCTGCGAAAATTTCAGGGAAAAACTATGACCAGCTTTAGCCGTCAGTTGTTTGTTGCTTGATTTGAAGAGTGTCCGCTAGCTTTTTTCTCACAAGGGCAGTCATACTTTATGGTGAGATGTCCACAAAAAAGATCGTTTTATGTCGAAATATTTTTTTTGGATCTGAGTTTTCTCAGACACGATGAAGTATCTGTTTGTATGCCTAGTAGAGTCATTTTGGATGAGCTTACTCAGATTCCTGGTCAATATTATTTAAATTGAACCGAAAGATCATTTTTGAATAAGCTTTGGTCAGAACGTCTTACTCGACAGTCCTTTATCATAAAGTCGATGGACTTTTCGCAACAAAAAGCTTTTCTCAAACAAAAAAAAAAAAAAAAAAACCACAACAATATAACATTTTGACCTGAGCGACTGTTTGACAACTTCTCAGTCTGCAATACTTGTGAGTCATCACGAGTTTGTTTAGCTAATCTTAAAATTAAGAGGCCCTTTCTCTAAAAACCAAGGATCAGCGTGGCTGAGATTATAGTGAAAACTCTTGGGCTCAAACTTAACAATAGTGAGGGTTAGTTCATATACTGACGTCAAATTTCGCTTTCTGTTTTATTTAAAGCACTAAATAAATTTTTAATCGAACCTAAGGATAATTATGATCAATCGCATCCGGCCGTCGTGTTGGTGGCTTTTTCTTTTTGTGGTCTGATTTGTGCCCTTATAAGGTCATTTCGCAATTTTACAGTGCACATACTTATTGTACAATTAGCGTGCACATTAACAAACTTTCGGCTTTTCCTATATAGTTAGATTTTTCCAGAAAAGTAAATTCGTCCTTTTCACTTGCAAACAAAGCTCGGTGACCGAATACGTTTTATTTTTCCTCGGAATAGAAGAAATATCCCTTTTTCGACCAAAAAGTAGAAACCCATTCTCAATGTAGGAAAATGAACAATATTTCGGAGAAGCGTTTTAAGCATGTGGTCCAAATATTATAATCCTAAGATTATAATGATTATATGGTTATCTATAAAGGACGGCTACCCCCTAAGAAGCTCTAAAACTCCAGTTTGTGATAAAAACCAATAGGTTGAGTTTGAAAAACAAAAAATTATCAGTGCAGTTTGTTTTTCAAAGGAATAAACAACCTTAAAAAAATCAACTCGTAGGAAATTTGAATAGATTAATTGTCAAATAAAACTACTTGATGTTTTTACAGGAAACTGGAGGCTAATAATGTATCCGTTTTACCTGAGGGATTCTTTGACAACTTGATCAACCTGGAATGGCTGTGAGTTAACACGAGTTTGTCTAGCTATTCCAATAAATTGTAAGGCTTTGTCTGTAAGAGCCAAGGATCAGCTTAGTTGAGATAATTGTGACAACTCTATGGCTCAAACTTAACGATATTGAGAAGAAGTTCATGTACTGACGTCAAATTTTGCTCTATGTTTTATTTAAAGCAGCCATTTTGATCGAACCTAAGAATAATGATGATCAATAGAATCCAGGTGTCGTCTTGGTGGCCATTTATTTGAATGATTATTGTTTTTGTGGTGTAATTACATTGCAACTTTACGTTGCCATACGAGAAAATAAAAAAAACAACAACAACAACAGCGAAAAAAACAATAGGAAGGGTTTAAGAAAAATATCGGGACAGATACTTTTTCAGAGGCATAACCGGAAACCGGAAAAATTGAATAAATCAACTAATTAGAAAAGTTTACTCTGATAAGTCGATGGTTTAACGGGATACTGCCGAATAATGACATAGCTTTTCTACCTGAGGGACTGTTTGACAACTTGATCAACCTGGAATGGCTGTGATTTAATACAAGTTTGTCTCTGTTTGTTAGTGCTATTTCAAAAACGAGCTCAAGGCTTTCTCCTTGAGAACCAGCAAATGAACCTGGAATCATTGTGATAAATCAGGGACACAAACTTAACTATAGTGATGATTAGTTAGTTTACTCAAGTCAATTCTCGCTTAATTTGATTCCAACCTAACGATGGATATAATTAATGCAGACGAGTTCTGATAAACTTAAGTAGCCGAAGGTTGCATCGGTCGCCTCTAGTATTTATGCAAATTTTGCTTAACATATTTCAATTTCTGTTGGTTTGTCAGTGCCAGCTTTTTTTTTCCGCTAAAACTTTAATCATTTGAAAGTTTAACAATTCCTGTGTAAGGGATATTGATATTCTGATGCTCTCGTGTTGATTTTTTGCATTTTGTTTTAGTCATTTGGATTCAAACTTTACATTAGAGATAATCAATCCATTAACCGACGCCAGGTTTTGCTTTTTTTATTGAAATGAAACAATTTTCCTCAAACTTGATTATGACGATAATCAATACAATCTGTTTTTTTTTTCTAGTGCAATTTTTTTGCTGCTTCAAAAATAACTGATACGATTATTTACCAAAGCAAACAACAAAAACGCTAATTGATATGTTGATGTTTCCACAGAAGAATGTCTTCAAACCACATAACAAATCTAGCTGAGAGATTGTTTGCCAGCTCGACCAACTTGCGAACCATGTGCGTAGAAAAAAAGATGTTTATCTAGCTTATCTAATTAACTAATGAATTGCAAGATTTTCCCAGTACTGACTGGTAGGCCTTTTTTTTAGGAGGTGAGGAAAATAGTTTTTAACTAAAATGGCGGTTTTTAATTCATTGCTGAAATTTAGCTAAAAAAGCAACAAAAAAACAAAGAGCTTTTATACAAGAGCCAGTGTAACCTATAAGAGGAAATAACGTCTCAAAGCAAGTGACAAAAAACGCTAATAAATATGTTGATGTTTCCACTGAAAATTATCGTCAAACCACAAAACAAATCTACCTAAGAGATTGTTTGTCAACTTGACCAACCTGGAAACCCTGTGCGTTAAAAAAAAAAAAAAAAGATGGTTATCAATCTTATCTAATTAACTAATTAATTTGCGAGGTTTTCTCAGTTCTGACTGGTGAGTCTTTTTTTTCGAGAAGGGTAGGAGAATAGTTTTTAACCAAGTTGGCGGTTTTTTATTTAGTGCAGGGGAATTTGCTGGTTAAGCAACGCGTATGGAAAACCTTCAGCTCTTGGCTGAAATTTAGCTAGGGTGCAGCTAAAACTCTAAATGGATTCAGCAAGAAATCGTTAATATCATTTTCCTAACAGCAATCAAAGAGAGTATATAGGGTATCTACAAAATACTGCTGTATTTTGATTTTTGCACAGATATCTATCATCAAACCATATAAAAAATACACCTGAGGAACTGTTTGTCGGCTTGACCAACTTGAGAACCCTGTGAGTTAAAAGGTTATCTAGCTTAGGAAGTTTTCGTTGAGGACAGGAACGGGGATTCAAATATTATATGACAGTAGCTCTGCGTCTTTCTTCTTTTCTTCCGTTTTTCGTCTTTTTTTTTCGTTTTGTGAATGAAATTTTTGTTTGTTTGTTTGTAGAAAATAGTTCACACTTAAGGTGGCTGGCAATAGTTTCCCCAAACGCTAACCGGCTATTTTCAGAAATTCCGCTCCCCCGCGAAAGATTTCAAACTGGCTTCTCAATTTCATTGGAATGTTCATAGCGATTGTTATGCCACACTCACTATTTTAAATTTCAATCTTTTGATCAAAGCCTGAGTGAGATTCGTTTGAATGCGAAGGAAGAAAGTTGGTTTTGAGCGCTTTGAATATACACGTAGCCGGTGAGAGCTTAAGAGTACTGTAGCTGGCTTCTTTTAGAAACTTAAATTTAAACTAATCATGAACCAATTGAAGAGTGCAAATTTTCCTAAGGTTAATAAGTTATTTTATTTGCATTAAATTCTGAAAATTTTAACAGGGATCTATCTTTCAACTTTATTACCTCTCTACCTGGCTTACCGAGTTCTGGGAAGCTGGAATTCCTGTAAGCACCAACAGTAACTAATACCAATCATGTGCAATTTTCCTTCCGTGGTAGAATATCGACCATCAGGTCTCGAGTGGAATATTCACTTGGATTCATTTACTTTGTTCGAATTTACAATTTTATTTATTAACCTACCCATTGGTTCATGATTTTTAAACATCTACAGTCGACTTCTGATAACTTGAACACTTGCTAACTTGAACCTAGCGGTACCTCGGTCAAAGAAACTATTTCTCAAGAAAAGTATGAGAAAAAATAGATCCAGCTTTGGTCAGGAAATTTGTGAAAACTATAATTTTGACCCACATCTTTTCTTGATCCTTAGTCTTGTCGTGTGTTGGGAAGCTTATCGAGTTTTTGATCACAGCTGCACTGTGTTATGTTCAAAATACGCGAGTCATAAGGTGTGACGGTTTTAGAAATCTATCAGGTACATGCATATGTGGCTCGTGAATTTTAAAAATTGTATCGCTGCTTGTGTAAATTAAGTCTCCTTGTTGAGTCACACTGGGTCGCCTGCATCGCCTTATTTTTGAAGAAAAACATTTCCTAACTTTTGTTTTTTTAGTTACGGCGACTTGAGATCCCATAGTAAGCCTTTGTGTGTATATTGGTCATATATTTTGACTTTAATAACCTCGATTGTCCTATGTATTCGTTTCTACAGGGATTTTTCTTGGAATAAACTTACCTTCTTCCCCGGCAATGCGTTTGGCGTGCCTTTCAATTCACTGCGCAAAATGTTGGTGACTCAATTTATTATTTTTTTTCTCTTGATTAATTTCTTTACTTCTTTTGATTGGTTTGTGCGATTTAATATCAACAAAATTCCCGCTTCAAAGTAAGTTAAGTTGCAGATTGAGATGGAGCATGTCTTTGAAGGGTTTCACTTTGAAGGCTTCAAAATCCACATTTAAATGATAATAAACGTCTATTATTAAAAGACAAACGCTCAGGCCATCAGTTTAATCATACTTACGAAAACACAGTAGTGTATTATTTTTTTAGCCTTCGTCAAAAATACTCAAATAATAAGACAGTGTAATTCAGAAAATACAGTTTAAAACGCAGATTTAATAAAGCTATGTACTGTTGTCCTTGATGGTGGTCAAGTTTCCTATCGGTCGTTTAACTACCTTTTAATGCGCTTGAAAGGAATGCAAACTTTGAAAAATGAATAAAATGAAAAACAAACAACCTCGTTTTTTATTACAATTTTTAATCAGACACTTTCTCGTCTCTGACAAAAATAGTGTTCATTCCTTCAGTGAGTGTCTTGCCGTTTCGGTTAGCTTTCTCAACAGGAACCATTTGAGGAGAATTCCTTACAGAGCCTTTTACAATGTGACCCATTTAGACCTACTGTGAGTATTTTTAACAGGCATTCCATAAGCTCAACTACTAAAGAAAATAAGGGTTTGGATACACGTAGAATCAGATAGACCATCACAAAGGCAGCAACTAAAAAAAGATTGCACATAAAATTTTACGGCTGAAACCCAGTTTTCTATCACAAAACTGATGAGTATCATTCCCAAATTTAAAGAAGCTTTCACCATGTCTTCACTTCTATGGAATCAAGGAGCTCGTTCCTTGCCTGTTTTTGTTGCCGTACAGCTTAGTTGCCAGTAAGCTTAACGTGTTTCAGAGTATTGGTGCGTTTTACAGTTCATTGACGCAACAACGCGCGTTTAAGACTTTCTTGATAAAATAAAATTTTAGATAAATAAAGTGCGTTCGATTCAGCATAGGATTAGATTTTTTTCGCGTAATAAAATCCATTCCATAATTCAATCTACGAACAACGTATGGTGGCTTAGCTCACAGTTCTGATTTGCCGCATTAACTCGTTTTCATTCCATCAAATGGTTGTTATCTAACTTCATATCTTGCAGCATTAATACCGAAGTGAGTCTCGATTACCGCATGAGATCGAGGCCATGTGTGGCTGTCACTCCAAGATGGCGTTGAATCGCATATTTACACGCAAATTCAGGATTAATATCAACTGTGTTGCAGAAATTGGCCTTGTCAATGACCGACTCGGGCAATTTCTAAAAACACGCATACTATTTTAATCCTAAAGTTTACTCGTGACTACTTCCAATTTTCTTCCTGAATTTATAAAGCTGTTAATAAAATCCAATCCTTCCTAGCAGGTACTGTCCAGGGCCAAAAGCAAAGTACGCTAGAAAACTGTCACATACAACAAACTGATTTATGCATACGCTACAAGGCCAGCAGTCGGGCATGGTCGGCAACCAAGCAGATTTTTTTTTTAAATTTATGTAAAATGTTCTTTAAAACCTCATCAGAGAACCAAGTAACTGTTTGTAATTGTGAAATTTTTCTACAAGATTACAAAATACCCTAAATTGGGTCGAAAAGTGCTAATTTGGTCTCCACAGAATACCGATTAATTTTATAGTAAATAAGGCAAGACAAAATCAAGACTTTAGCAACCGTCATTTTATAAAGGGTGTCCGGTGAAAATCGGATTCGTTACAATTTTTTTTTCGCAGAAATATTCCAATGTGATTTTCACTGCTACATATTAATCGTCCTCATTTTATTCCTGTAGAACATTATCTGATAATCCTCTTGAGATTATCGAGCGGGAGGCCTTTCGCCTTGAGTCCCTCAGCGTGAAATTCACACTGTAGGTTTTAAATTTTTTTAGAATGATATTCTATCTAGGTGTTACTCATTCAAGGACTTCTTCAAGTTTAATATTTGCTGATCAGATCATGAAGAAGGACTGAAAACCTATAAGAACGAGAAAAACAAAATCTGATCACATATATCGCCAAGTTAAAGACTGAAGTGCATTGAACCTATGCCAAATCTGTAGTAAGATGATCTCAGCTCTTGTTACTCTTCTTCCACTTTACAGCTTTCTCCTCCGGACGACGTTAAAGACATTAACATCTGCCTCATTCGCAGGCCTCCACTCTATGAATTTCAAACTGTGACGTATCCAACATAATCAAACTTTCAGCATTTGCACTAAGTAGTTAAAACGATAACCAACAAACATCATTGCAACAATGGCCGGTGATAATTTGTTCAATCTTTGTTGAGGAGTTTTAAATAATAATTACATTTTCTCAAACTTGAAATTACAATTGTATGGGCTGCAACAATACTCACCTTATGGAGCAACATTAAGCGCTGATAAATACTGTCTTCAAACTCACATGATTTCCATTTATTGAGTACGAGATAGGGTATGAAAAGTTTAAGAGTCCGTTCCTTAATTCTCTCCTGCTCCCTGACATATGATGCCGACCCCATGGGTATTCTCACTATGTTATATAAGTTGATGCTTTCAGGAAAAAACAAAACACATCAAAACAAAAAACAACATAAAACGAGTAACTTAGGATAGCTAATGTTGATTTATTTCAGTTGAATTTAGATATTCAGCCGATAGAAATTGTTTAATTTCTGTTGCAGTGTTGCAAGGAATAGAACAGCTAGAACCATGTATTATCCTATTCCAAGAGGGAAAGTCACAATTTACTTGTCAGTATAAGATGAATGTTTTGATAGCGTACACGCATAACATCATATCACATACCCAGTAGTGTTGATATGTAACTTTAATTTAGGACAAGCAGCTGAGCAAGGGAGAGCAGGAATATTTAAAAAGACTTAATATTCAATGTAGGATTTTTGGATCCTTACTATACCGATCTGAGAGAAAAAGCAGAGCGTTTAAATTAGAAGTAGTAGAAATTATATATGAATCAATTACCAGCGTCATCGGCATTAGTGTCTGGTAAAGTCTGATAAAGTCAAGACTGATATAGTCACGCGAGCTTAAGCAATGATATATTTATATGTAAATATACTACAATATTTCCAAAAATTCTTCTGTTATCATTTTCACTCTTAGGAACTCTCTTTATTCTTACGATGAAGCTATTGTCGTTGAACGTTACAGCAGTGAACACGACTCCCTTCAGCCAGCACTACTCAGTATGGGTTTCACCGAAACTAAAAACAAATCACACGTTGTATTTCTCCCATGTCCTTTGGGATCATTTTCGAAGTCTTTGGGAACAAGAAGCTGGAAGTGCGTTGATTGCTCTCCTGGTATGTTATAGTTTGGACGTTTGTTGGAACCCGATGTAGCTTAGTTCACAATAAGAAACGGTGAAGGCGATTAATTTCTTGGTACATGTGTCTAGGAATGACCATCTTATGAACCTTATCTTGCTTGTATATAAACAATATTGCCAAAGAAGTCTTTCGGGGGAGGCTTTAATACTCAAAGTCCGCTGGGGTCGTTTTATCTTAAGAGTCAGTAACCACACCAATATATTTTGAATAAAACCTAAAGAGCTACAAAAGTGTAGGGAAGTAAAAGCTGTCTCAAGTTATGACGCGGGTGCGAGAGAGGATTTCAGGTTTCAGTATATAAATGAAAAATAGTCTCTGTCCAAAGCATCAACTATTTCAATTTAGGAAAAATAACTTGCAAAGGAACTTTTTTTCCTCTATCAATGAAACTAAAATTGATCAAAAATTTGACTTCGAACCAAAGTAAACGATGATTGTTGGTGCTGGGAGAAAATTCCCGCAGAGGCAGCTTTGCAGGGTAGCTATATTAGAAGGTTAACTATTTGTTTTCGAAAGCTCAACCTTGAAGCTGGTGGAAACTTCTTATTCCACCAAGTTACAGGTACGTTGAAGGTTTATATTTTTATTTTAACATAAAATCAAAATGTACTTGGAACCACTCATTACCTCAACTGGAACTTTGACATGTTCCTCTTTCAGGTGGTTTTTACTCCGACACTCTTGGTTATGTTGCAGACGGCTGTAAGAAATGTCCAAATGGTTCTTACGTGGCATATGACAAAAAACCTGGAAAATCTGTACTGGACTGCAAGACATGTCCTGACGGTAATAACCGAACATGTGCTTTTTGACGTCACCAAAGGGTTTTAAGCTGTCAGTGTGTACACACGTAATCAAATGCTGTCTAGAAGCCTGTAAAGATTGAAGAAAAATGACTAGAATTAGAACAGCCGTATTTATCTTTGGAAACAAACCCAGCACGTAGGCAAAAATCGAATTTCGCGAAACCCTTCCCTGTACTTGCTTCATTGTGTATGGTTGGTTTGAAGATCTTTTTTTTCACTTAAGGGTAGTATTTGACGCCCCAAGGTTTATAGGTGAACCAATCAGTTGATCTTCCTCTCAATCAATATTTGCAAGAACATCGGGTCTCAAAGCTCGGGAGAGAATCCTTTCCACCCTGCGCTGATAAATAATACGAAAACGAGGTTCAAGACTTTGATCCTACTTTTTTTTTCAATGATAATTAAATATGACATCATTAGTCGAGCTGGTGTTTAGAGCGCCAGCTTCATCTAACTGAAGGTAGGAGTGAGTAAGATTTGATTGATTAATAATGCAATCTTGGATTTTTACAGGAACGGAAACCGACTTTTTCGCTGGACATCGTGCTTGTCCCTGCTTGGAAGGCCATTACAGAACTCATCTCTTCGACAAGTGTCTTACATGTGGCCGAAGCGGGCTGCTATGCCAAGATGAGTACGCCTCACTAAAACCTGGCTTTTGGTGGCAATGGCGGAACGAGTCCTATAAACATCGCTATGAATATTTCATGAAAAATCTCGCCCGGGAGCTACCTGCATTGGATGATTTCTCAGTGCAGTATCCTTATGCAATACCAACACCATACAGATGTCAGGTAGAGGAGTCTTGCAAAGGTGGTTTGGACTCACCATGCGGAGAAGGCTATCAAGGTCCGCTTTGTGCTGTATGCAATCCAGGGTACCACAAACAATTTCACTCTTGCGAAAAATGTCCTTCACGGGCTTGGATTGTAGGACAACTCTCTCTCATTGCTGCTATTATAGCGATATTTTTGACCCTTATAGTTTGGAGAAAGAAAAATAATCTTTCAAAGGACCGGGGACTCTCTTGTTTTGACAATTTGTTGTCAAAGCTTAAGATCTTGATTGGTTTTTATCAAGTCACTCATGGCTTGCTAGATGTGTTCTCGTTCATTGAATGGCCAGATTCATTGCAGGTTGTGTCCAAATATTCAGGAATTTTACAGATGAATTTGCTTCAGGTAGCACCGGTTCACTGCCTTAATCACAAATTACACGTGGATGCCTTTGGAGATTTGTTTGTGCTATTGTCAATGAATGCCATGGTTATTGTTGGTTCGTGTGTGATCTATGGTTTTTGGTATATGATGATCTCAAGAAAACAGGGACTGGAGGAGGACGAAAGGCCAAGCAAAATTTCACAAGGGAAAGTTCTTCTTTACAGAAACGCTTTTTTCTTCCTGTACGTGACATACCTAAGCACCTGTTCGAGGACAGCCAGTGTCATGCCGTTCGCCTGCCAGAAACTCTGCAAAGACAAAAGAGAAGAGTTATGTGACGAGTACCTTAAAGTAGATTACAGCATAAAATGCCAAGGAGCAAATTACAATCATCTTGTGATCGTAGCTTATGTTTCAGCTGCATACATCATTGCTTTACCTGCTCTTTCTCTCGTCGCACTTTGGAGGCATCGGCGAACAATCATAACCAAGAAAGACAGTGATAATGGCTCTGATCCAGAAGTTGTTGACGGATTGCGATTTCTCTTTGAAAATTACAAACCTTGTTCTTGGTACTGGGAACTGATTGAAATGTCCCGCAAATTCATTCTTACGTGCGGCCTCATTCTCGTGGGTCAAGAAAGCAGATCCTTCATTGGATTGGCCTGGGTTGTTGCCGGTATGTATGCAGTGCTTTTCTGCTGGATCAAACCCATGCAAGACACTTTTGAGAACAGACTGATGTCCACTTCTCTTGCCGTTACACTTGTAAATCTGGGTATCGGTGCTGTGAGCAGAATTCCGACTGAGAACATATTAAACATGGCGGACCATCACAAGGACGCTTTGGCAATGAAAATACTGATTATTGGAGCGAATACGTTGGTGATTGGCCTCCTTGTTGGTAAGATAAACATCAATTTCATGGAAAGAAACTCAACTGCAACTTTTATATGTTGCTTTGTGTTGTCCGATATATTAACCACAGTTGTGTCATATCATTCACATTAAAGGTAGCCTTATCGTATCTCCAGTTTATTTCAACAGCAACTAACCATTGAAATAAAACGCACAATAAGAGTTTGGTCTTTCGATAGAGCTCAATTTATTTGGTTAAAAATTGAAACTACGTTACAGGCTTCTATGGTTTGTAATTCCACACCTTATGAGATTTTTACAGCTAAACAGAGAAAGTTTAATTCTCTGGTCAATCATTTTCTTCCTAGTTCAGTACTTGGCATACTTACATCAGGTCTTCAAAGAGTGGCGCAAAAATCCAAAATGGTCCTTTTCTTGTTGCCTGGCCTTGCTTCTTCCATTTAATGACCTACAAGGCGAGATACGTGGGATGGTTGGCAAAAACATGCTTAAAACACAACTTCAGTCAGGGATCATTGGGAAGCCCTCCATTGCGGCCAGTGCAAAAGATACTGGAGCATTGAGTTTTTCTCCAAGCCATGAAGACAGGGAAAGACAAGAAAGAAGTTCAGTAAAATCCAGAGTGACTAGATGCAGCAACACTAAATGTGACCGTGGGACTCAAACAGAAATAATCGCACCGGCATCTGCCGCTACCGCTGAACATGCACAAGTATCATGGAAAGCGTGCCGGCAGATAACCATGTGAGTACATGGCTAGTAATTCCTGTTTTCGATTGTTTGTTTGTTTTTGTGTTTTGGGTGATGGCGATGTTGTTTCAGAGACAACGTCCACTAAACTGGTCTAGTAAATCTCTTAAGAAGCGTCCCTGCTAAAGATAGACATTTGAATAAGATTCTGCGCGACATGGCTTTACAAAAAAAGGCCATCCTACCTAAGCTGATATGGGTGATGCAAAGTCGTCTCCCCTACTCTTAGCATTGACCTACATGTTATAATAATGACGGGTTGAAATAAATATGTAACGTATGCAACTTCTTCCAGACTATAGGCCGACTGACCTCTTTATTTCGTTCGTGAAAGAGAGGTACAAAAGTGAACTTTTTTTTACACTTGTACATCTTTAGAATCTGCCAACCTGTATTCTTGGTTAGTCGTAGACATACGATATGTTGGTGATCCTTCATTTGATTCATAAGAGAAAATATAATGGACTCTCTAATTTGTGACATAGATTCTATTGCTAGACATTTTCAAGGCTTGTCTTTCTTTTCGGAGGCATTGAGAATTAGCCCCTACGTACGCTGGCCAGTTACCGTGCATTTTTCTTCGTTGTTTTTGTCACATATGCTACAACCTAAATGCACTTAAATTACTTTATATGTTTATGTAAAAGAGACACAAGGATCCAATCGCTCTGACAAATGGCTAACGCTCGAAACGTCAGCCTTTAAACTCTTTACAGTGGCCAATTTACGTTTTCAACTCAGTTGATAACACTTACTCACCCTTTGAAAAATTGCATTTTTTTACAGGACTCGGCACTCTGTCCATCACATACCACTTGCTGAAGCAGAGGAAGCCACTTCAAAAGACGAAAAGACCGACAGGAATAATGGAGAATAAAGAACACATCAAGAAATATCATTACATTTAGCATACAAGGCAACGCATCCTCTTTCCTTTAAAATATTTAATAGAATAGCGAGAGCAGATATGTTCAGGCGAAACATGGTTTTTAATGATTAACTCTATTAACGTTTTTGGGGTATTATTTGCTCCTATTGACATATAATACTCGCATTGATTATCGCATTAGATGTTTCCTTAATGAAGGCATCGTTCCGATTTACACAAATCCACACTCTATAGAATAATCAGATATGCACGTGATAATCCCGTTTGAAAACGGGCTGCACCGGTTTTGAACAAACGTACGTTGTCATTATTAGCAGTATCACATTAGCAGAGGTAGTACATAGAGTGGCAATATTCATAAATATTGCTATAAGCTAATAACAGTGATACTGATACAGTTTTGGTTTAATTCATTATTAAACGGGAATTCTTTAGTTTGTAGACATGCTTGTTCAGGAGAACAGCAGCAAGACATGAAAAATAAAGTACCTCGCTTCGTTCGTGATTTTAATAAAGTTTTAGCACAAATATTACGTCATTTGCTTTGGTGCTACGTGTGGAATCCCCTTGCCCCTTTCGAAAAAACACATGATATGTAACTCAGTTATCTCAAATGTAAATACTTTTGGGGTGGAAAAAATAACTAGGGAACCTTTAATTATCCCCCTGGGGAGGGGAATTTGAGTGGGGAATCTGGTGCTGAACTTCTCTGGTTAAGATGATTGCTGATTTCTTGAGTGTAGCATTTTTCCATTTATCGGTTTCAAAATAAAGGCAAAAACTAGTCTTGAATTTCCCACCCGTACTGCAAGCTGAGAAATGAAGAGAAACCAGTTTAATATTTGAGTAACAAACATTTCCTCGTAAACTGAGTTTTATATACACTTCACACGCACAAAGATATATTTTGGACTCTTGGGCGTTAGCTTCGCCTGCTAAACTGATGTGACCGTTCATAGTCATTTTCTAGAGCGTTCGTTTGCGCTTAAACGTTCTTTTCGAAATCCTGCAAGTACGTGCATCTATGGTGAAGATCGACTTCACAGATAGATAAATCCACTATTTAAAATCCTTCAAAACGTTGTTTAAATAAAACAATTCTTAATTGAAATGTTGGGATTTTACTCATACCGCAATTTCAAAAACTGTAATAAACTGAACCCTTTAAAAAGGAAGCCATTTCACAGGTCGATATTAAACAGTACTTAGATAACATATTAATTTTCAGAGAGACGGGGCGTAAACGACCTAATTAACGCCCCAGGCGTCTTTTAAATATAGTACGATAAGAGGAGGAGGGGTGTGGAATTATTACCTAACAGGTGTTTTTATAGGAAGGCATTTATTGACGTTTAACATTGAAATTCAACTGTAATAACAGTATATTACGTGCAACTATAAAATTACAAGAAAAAAGGGGAATATAAAACCGTCAGTTTTCAATTTCAATGCCCCTGGGGTTCGTTGCACTCATTAGCCTCATCAATGTCCGAATCTCTGTAGAACGTCATCCTTGCTACTCTGCTGCATATCAATAGTGAGAGGTATTTCGAAAACATTTAAAATTTCTATGGGGCATTAATTAGATATAAATTCGAGGGAAGGTGTTCATTAATTTCGGCTATTAAAACAACCTGTGGGTGATGTGAGGACAGCCCCGGTTGTTTTGAAGGTGAATGCAATGCACTTCACATGCATGCAGCTAAAAAAGAGAATGCTATCATTTTAAACTGATGTTACGCCGTTATTTGAACCAAATGGTATGAGTAACAAAAGAATATGATAGAACCAAGCGTTATTACACACGGAAAGCTGGAAAAGGTGTGATTGGTGTATTAAAAGACAACACCACAAGAGGCAAGCCCCTCGTTCCGTGAACTGTGTTCCTCAGATGCGGCGCGCCGCCAGATCTCCAGTGGTGAAGACTCTAATGAAGACACTGTGGACGTGACGCTGATGGAGGCACTTGCCCAATGTTACCAGGCTTCCGACACTTGGCAGAAGCGTCGCCAAATACTTTCCATCATGGCGGATAAGGTGCGCTTTATCAAACTCCTTCGTTATATTCCTTGTCTGACCAACTATCGATTTACGGACGCCAAACGCCATTGCCTTACCTATGGAAGAGGTGGACCAGTAAAGTCCTTACGAGCGTTCAGGAGAGACATCGCTTCTTCGCAAATAAAGCGTTTCATCGCCTTCATAACAAGCTCGCACATTGTACAAGATTTGCCATTCGGAGAAAGATCCGTAACGCTTAGCAACAAAGAAACTATAAAGATACCAAACGTGATGATTCCTGAAAGAGTGGTCAAACAATATTTGGCCGACTGTGACAGGATGAGTTTCAAGCCCTTGAGCCGAAGTACGCTTCTACGTATCCTTGCTGTTTTAGCCCGCCTCTCTTTGAAAGTCACTTCAAGGCTTAGATTACGTTAGTTCTGCAGGATCGCAGGCATTTGAAGACTTATCCGACGTCGCAGAAAGACTTGGAGACGCGAGAAAAGACATGATGGGCTGGACGAAAGATATACAGAGCCGCCTTCGACTTGGAAAGTGTTACCTCAAAAGAGATTACAAGGCAAAGGTTTTTCATATTCATTATGTAACGTTCTCAAACACGTTAACAGTTCTAAGAGCGGAATACACGTTTGTAGAAGGTGGTTCTCTACCGAATAAGCTCATGCACCCGTGTGAACGAAAATACCCTTTTACGAGAGAGGCAAGCTTCAATCTGAGCATGTGGTCTGGTCAACTGTCGTGTGTAATTTGTTTTGCGTGTATTATAAGTGCACGCGTGTTAGGGTTCTACTGTGGCCGATCACTGCAAATTGTTTGCGTTGAGCGACCCAAAGGAGCTTGCCTTTCAAGCTCAGTGCGGCCATCATCATGACGACACCTGCGATCGCAACGACCAGCTAATGTCATCTCTCAGCGAAATAGAATCAGCAATGATCGCCCAGACATATAACCTGCTACCCGAAGTCAAGGAAGAACTTTCGTTTATTGTAAAGCAAGCTATAACAAACTGGAAGGCTCACATAGTACGCTCCTCAAATCAAGATGCTGCGAGGATCGATATCCTCGAGTCATTAGAGGAGTCATCAGTGCTACTTATACTGGGCTATGAAATATTTGCCGAGAAAATACCGAGAAAGCCAAACTGGTTGGTTTGGCAAACGTGGCATTACATGGCACACCAGCGTAGCCTTCAGAAAGGTTAGCGAACGTCTTCCAGAGGTGCACTCAAGACAGCTGTGCGGTCCTCGCTATCGGACGTTATTAAACAACTCAAGACCATCATGCCAGATCTGGAGACAGTCAGTTATAGCCAAGACAACGCTGGCCGCTACCATAGCGGGTCTACCACAGTCTGCGCAAACGTGATAGGAAAAGAGTTGGGCGTAGCGATCAAACGATTGGATTTTTCAGATACCCAGTTTGGAAAAGGAGCTAGTGATCGTAAGGCAGCCTTAATAAAGTCACACATGCACATTCACTTAAACTCTGGCAACGATATCGAGAAGCTCGCGCAGATGGTTGAGGCTATTCTTTCTTCCGGTGGAGTGGCATCCGTAAGTGTCACCCGCTGCGAGTCTATGACAAACCCTCCGATGGTCACTTGCAAAATTGATGGTGTGAGTAAACTCTCAAATACAGAGCTCACTATAGAGGGAATCCGTGTATGGAGAGCATACGGCGTGGGACCTGGGAAACTGATATCTGCTCCGAAGGCTGAGATCCCATCACCAGATACTCTGCCGTCAATGGTAGTATACTCCTGTCGCACCCAAGCTCTTTCTCCTCCGTCGTGAAAGGGCGGACTACCACAACACATCCAAGTGAAACCCATGCCACCAGAGACCAGACGGAAACCGACGAGGAGCCTGCAACAGCAAACGAGGTACTGTTTACATGCCCAGAAGAAGGATGTAGTAAGTCATTCCTGAGGCACTCCTCCATGATGTAACACTTAGACTGTGGAAAACACCAACTTGCGCTAGAGCATGAGACGCTTTTTGACAAAGCTGCATTAGAGTATGCAGAGCACCTGGAGGGACAGCCAACGCTGGTACCGGTAGTCGGAACAGTCAGCTCGCCCGTAAGTGACAAAAACAGAAGGTGATGGGCTAAGCACTTAAGTCAGATGAGTCACGAAGAACCAGGTTCACCCGAAACCAGAAGTCCTATCAGACTGCAAAGTTTAGAATTGGAGAGGAGAAGTAAGGCAGATCCAGCAGCGGTTGCACGATCAATGATGTGTGCCAAGGATTCGACTGTCAACGTGTTGTTTAAGAGTAACGAATTCCTGACCGCTAACCAAATAGTAGGTTTTTTTTTCACGTCTGGCCTCGAAGAAAACCCTTGTGGATGATGAGCAGCAAGGCGATATCGAAGTCGTTACACTTGAGGCTGGTTTGGACGAGATTGTCGGTGAGGCTGTCCGTGAGCTAACACCTAAACACCCAATTGTTTACGATGCCTACAATTCGTGTGAGCTGGCGTCCCAGAAGAAGATGAGTGACTTTTCCATTGCTGTATTAAAGGACATTTGGAATTCTTTTGACGTTGACCTTTCAGATGTAACAGTTGGGCGCGACAAGCCCTACATTGAAAAGCTGCAGTCGCTTTGCGAGGAATGTGCATGTCAGCGTTGAGGGACGAGTGGCTAAGCCAATGTTAATTAACTGTTCTAACAGAACTTTCATTTAGTCATACTGTAAAGTTCGTCGGAAGCATGGGGAAAAATCTTTGTCGCCGTCCTGTATACCCTCTAGGATTGTTAATGACGACGACTGATTATAATGAAGTGTGTTAATGAAATGTGCTTCTGAGATGGAAAAAAAATGTTACTCTTGTTCTCACTCGATTCCGATTTTGTTCCAATAGCTGTCTCTGAAGTCTGTTAAGGTGAGATACGTGTCGCTAATATTGGAACCATTTATGTACTGATGTCGCATCCTCGTTCCCAGGGTTTCTCTTCTTTCCACCCAATCTGAGAACTAGGTTGTCCATGTAATGAAATGGTCGCTATCGTTTTTCCTAAATGTCATCAATTTGTTCGTTTCCTTGAAAGCCCTCTAAAATAGTTTAGCTAATGGCCCACAACACATAATTAGTAATTTAATGTTCTGTTTCCTTTTTTAGCTGCTTCTCGTTCCTCATGCAGTTAAAAACTCGGGGTCTAACAATCGCGTAATCACACTTTTTTCTATACGCTTTTGTAGTTCGATTGTGAAACGCCGCTTCCATGAAAAAGAAGAAAGAAAAATACACGAGTATAAGAGGTCGCAGTGTTCACATTTGGGAAAACGTGTGTCGCTGTCTCAGTTTTCCATGCTTCTCAAAAGCATGAAAAAGTTCCCTGTGGACTCACTTGCTGACTGCTGTACATTCCCATTGCGTGTACTGATAATTTGGAAGTATATCTACATAATGGGACGTTAGATTTCGTCTATTTGTGTGGCTTCTTGGTATTTTGTTCTGCTTCTAAAAGATCATGACGTCCAGTGGCAAATTGAACTGCGTCACCTTTGCGTGACTTAACAGATACGATCACGATTGCATAAGAGATTTCGGCAAAAATGGTGTTAGAATGCTGTAAAGAGCATTTTAGGAGAAACTGCTTTGAAACTCGAAGCAAAACAAATTATTTTGATCTGTAAAGGCTCTTATAGGTTAGTTGTAGAAAAAATAAGCTGGGAAAATTGAACAACCTCATGTAAGTTGATCCGGCTCAGGGTGACACTAATTTTAAATTGTCTACCCGAAATAGCTAATCTATTAGCGATAAAATACTCACGGAAATTACTGACGACCACATCGATTAATTAGAATGTAAAAATTGTATAATCGTTTGCTTACGGGTGTGGAGAATGTGCTATTTGTTGACTTCCGGTTGACATGCTCTTGTTGTGATAACCGCTATTTTAAGAGGCTTCCTACTCGGCGCTGGTAAAAAGCCCGAAACTAGTTTTTTCACTCCATTTTAGACCAGTATTTGTTCTCATAGGAATACCAATTTCAAGTTATTCGATGTTTTACCGGGTACAAAAAATGTCCCTTAAAAAAACACGCTAAATTACAAATTATTCGAAAGTGAATTGTGGTTAATTTCATCGGCTTACCTTTAGATTTTATTCACTGGAGTAAGATTTAAGTCAAGTTGCAAAGACTTCAATAGCAATGTTGAAAGCACGAAGCGTTTCTTTCTATGATGCGAATGCAAGAGGGCGAATTTTATGGGAAGGTACCAATCACGTATTTTTCGGATGCCTTTCAGGATATTTTGGCTTGTGACGGTCTTTTTATTTTATTTTATGGAGGTTTAAAAGGATATTACTTGAAAAAAATCCTATAACGTTTTTTAAGCCACTATAGGGCATCTTCAGAGAAAATATGAAAAATCTTGATTTTTCTAGATGTGTCACGAATTTTCATTTTCGCTTGGTCTTAGTGGACATTTTCTCTAAATACTTCCAGTCTACCTTCATTATGAAGTTTCTCTTCTGTCTGCACACCGCGGCCATTGCTATCGTTATTGTGGTGTGTAAATTGGAATGTGAAGTTATCACATATGTCATCCCCAGTCACGGCGCTGACTTGAGTTTCGTTGAGAAAATTTTTTGGAGGAAATAAGATCAAAAGCCTGAAAATATTCCTTTATTTGGATAACTATGAGCAAAAAGGTGTGAAAGTAGAAGCTTTAGAAGCTTAGAAGCTTTTTGACAGACACTCTCCAAAACTTTACTAAAGAGTTATAATCAGAAGTTACGACCAACTAGGAAAGACGGCTTTGCAATCAAGCGGACTGGGCTCCTTCGGAAGAATATGATTAAATCTATATTATTATCCTTATTGTTATCATTACTGTTCCAAGTTCCAAGTTCCAAGCTCACACTCGGTCCACGCCACCATTCTTGTTTGATCTTAACCATTAAATAAATCAATTCACAATAGAATTAGCTCTCCTTCGGTGAGAATACTCTCTAAAATTATTCCCAGATGTCCACCTACTAAAGATTTAATTTTAACCGTGATCAGTGAAGTTTTTGTACTCTATTTCGTTACGATGTTTTGTCAGCAATTGGAATCACACAATCGATATTTGAGCGTTTTTTGATCAAGTGACGTAAGACCAAGAGTAAAGTAATTTCCCAAATGGAACAAAGTAACCATAAAAGGTTTATGAGAGCTGAAAGTAAACGCCACGATTAGAGACTTGAAAACACGGATAATCAAGTCGCGATTTGAGTTGAGTACTTTCTCTGATCTGATTAGTCGATTGATTGGCAATTGCTTGCGAGTAGGCCGTCAACATCAGCACTTCTGTACGGGCGTTTATTTACCCACGACAAAGTAAGTATCAGGCCGTGAGAAAAAACAAAACAAAACAAAACCGTCGAGGCAAGGGGTCTAAGCTCATTATTAGTGCCACACCCTCCCTGCAAACATTCCCCCAGGCTCGTCACAAATCTTCTTGTGGGCGGAGAAACGCACGTGCCGCAGGGCCAATAATGATCGAGGGCCCGCTCGCCTGCAGCTGCTCGTAGTATCCGCACAAGTTTATAAACCAATCGCGGAGTGCAATGAAGCAAAATAAATCCACCACAGGTAATTAAGCTCAGGCACTCATTTGGAGATTACTGTGAGTTAGATCATGTGATTTTGTCACGACCCTTTCTCTCGAGAAAAATAATCTAAGGGATCTGTCTCACTCGAATGGAGAATTGATTGAGAGGTTAAGTCTAAAAAGTTACATGGATTGGTTCCCTGCGAATTTGAACGAAGCCTCTTAACTGGGGTGGAAAATTACTAAAAAAAATCCAGTAAACAAGTAAAGACCAGGATGTACAGTTAGATATCAAATCTTTGACAAAATGTTTGAGACAACCTCAAATTTCGTTTAATTTCTTACATCCCAGTTAATTGACTCTTTGATTCCACTTCTTCCTTACAATATAGATTGTTTAACAGATAAAGTAGCATGTATATTTTGAACATAGAAGATGGAAATACAAGCTCTAAACACCTCTTCAGTTCTAACCGAGTTCGTAACTAACAGTACAGCCCGAAAAAAACGAGTTACTGAGATATTTGTTAAATTTTCGGGTTCAAATAGATGAAGAAGATTTAAACTTAAACAAAGTTTTGAATTTAGCGAGGCGTACAGTGAGGTATGACCCGCTTAATTGACCGATCATAGCACACGTATTAATTGAGATATGATAAAAATTGAGCATTGATCTGAATCTAGTTATGTCATGCAAGATGCCCCTCAGATTCCTGTCAAGGAATTTACCTATACTCCTTTCAAGGGAAATAATAAAATCATATCTCAATCAATCGAACGTTTTTTTCTGGCTTATAGCAATCGTCGCCGTTAGGAAACAGCTTAATATTTGGATCCTCTAGTTGAAGGGTGCTTTCAACATATGCGACGTTTTGTTCGGACATCATAAATTCATTTAAGAGCTGTTGATTTAAAGAATTATCACCCATTACACCAAACACTCCCACGACTTTATTCTTTTTTAAGTTCAAACAACAGCCCACCGTCCACATTGAGTTTGGAATTGCGATCTTTGGTCCGAGATTCTTGTTTACATCCACGTTGTTATGGAACCACTGCAGAGGCTCCATCCCTTTGGCTGCTTTTATTTTACCTTGACGATCACGTTTCCGGAGAAACTTAACCTTCGATGTGCCAGTGATTAGGAAAAGGGTTTCGCCGTTCCGAGAACAATTTTTCCGGGCGTATTTCTCTATTCTCAGTTCGTACCTTTTCCACTGACCTCTGTTGAAATTTGCAATTTGCGGCACGCAGTTGGTGTAGGTAAATGTGGCAAGGGCACTTTCAAGGCTGTAACGTAAGATTTTAACGGGAACTAGGAGGCCTCTCTCGTATCTATCTTGGAAAGGTTGGTTCTGATACAATTCTTTGCTTCCCTGACGAATTCCTGATCATGAAAGAGTTTTAAAGTACACTGATGTCAGTCACAAGCTAAGAAATTTCGTTCTCGATTGATCCGCTAGGTAAATAAAGTTGTCACCCTCCCAATCACGGTTGCGAAATGTTAAATAGAATTATCTCAGATTAGTCCAGGAAATGATTTGCTTAAAATTATTTAACCATCATGCACGACTTTTCCCACAAGTTTCTCCTCTTTCCATCCGTATTTTTGCCCCATTGTACCTCCAGTGTAATACCGTCGTATGTTTTGCGTTTACCGTTGCCCTAATGTACGTGGTAAAATCTATCTAACTACTCACCCATCTATTCACCTATCTATCTATATATAAAAACACATTCATGTATATATATGTATATACACCTGTATTCAAAAACGTTGCAATTTGAAAAAAAAATTAAATGCAATAAAATCTTTTGTTTAATTTCTCATCAAAAAGTGTCTCCTTTTGATGAGAAAACGAAATACTCGTATAACCTCATCTCAGCATCTTATCGATTGCATAGGGAATGCGTGAAAGACTAAAAGACCAGAACCAGGGTGGTTCTGATGCAATGCTTTACTTCCTTGATGAATCCCTGAACATGAGACAGGTTTAAAGTACACTGATGTCACTCACTAGTCAAGAAATTTTGCTCCCGATTGATCCGCTAGGTAAATAAAGTTCTTACCCTTCCGATCACAGTCACGAGATGTTAAAGTGAAAGATCTCAGATAAGTGAAAGTAATGATTTGCTCAACATGATTAAAAAATCGATCATGCATGACATTTCCCACAAGTTTCTGCTCTTTCCATTCGTATTTTTGCCCTATTGTACCTGCAGTGTAACTCCGTCGCATTTTTTGCGTGTACCGTTGTCCTAATGTGGTAAAATGGCGTGATAGTGTAATGACGCATTATGTAAATCTATATCTACCTAATATCTTTCTTTCTATGAATGTATGTATGTATGTATCTACCTATCTACCTATCTACCTATCTATCTATCTATCTATCTATCTATCTATCTATATATATATATATATAATGGAAGTCTGTGTATTGTTTTATCCGTTTTACAGTGCTCGATACATAGGAGTAGATGTATGTTGCGATAGGGGGAAAAACAGAGAGACTATTATTTCATCCCCACAAGCCTATTTCGTGATTGCTCAGTCATCACGAAGCAGGCTTTCCCCCCCCATCGCAACATATCAACATATATTTTCTAGCGTTTGAGATTTAAGTTTACGAAACACTCGGCCTCATCTCAACAACTTATCGATCACTTAAGAAGTGCGTGAAAGGCGAAAACAGCACGAACGAAACAATTAAAGTAGACTTCGTGACCGAAGCAAAACCTGGTACACTTAGGCACTCAGGAGCTTTTTTCTTGAAAAGTTAGTCCCAAAAGGCGAAAAAAAGTTTGGTTTGTTAGCGCAGCCACTTCGTTCGCCTGCTGTCCGTATTTTTGCTTAGTTCCACGGTGTAATACCGTGGCATATCCAGCGCGTTCTTTTGCCCTAAAATGGCAAAACATTGTGGCACTGGAATAAGAAATGTCTTTTTTCCCCCTAAATTTCTTTGACACAAAAGTAAATTATAATAGTAACACTAGTTACCTTACCTGGGGTCTGATTCGGTTGCCATGGGTCACCTTGAGGTCTTGGTACTTTGGGTTTCATGGCGTCTTCGGCGGTAATCTTGTAGAGTGCGTAACGTGCAATTCCCAAATTATTATCGTGGAGAGTGGCGTAATACTTGTCTTGGCAGAGGGGACGGGTGACACCTAGCTGCTCTGGAAAGGTTGGTTTACCACCACGCAATGAGAATGTGTTAAGATTGCATGCTGGTAACATGCGACGTACTGGTTGTTCACCCAGGTGTTTTCCTTGCTCATCATAATCTTTGACACAAGAAAACGTTGTCTTTTTATTCATATTATCACACTTTTCTCAAAATTATGCTATATGCTTGAAACAAAAGATGTGAATACCTACAGGAAATAGAGAAGAGCTTTTAAAGTATTTTATTGCACTCGGTCTGCTTCAATAACCAGTTGATTTGGACTCTATTGCTGATGACCTTTGGAAATGTTTTGCCCGAGGCAACCTGTTAAATACCTTTAAGGGAAATATCTTTACAAACGTTTTTAGCTTCCTCCCGGGAAAACATAGCAACCGAACATCTCCGGCTGACAAATAGGCCACTAAGTACTATGTTTCCATCTAAAATGTGACGCTTTGGGCCCCCAAAAATCCTTCTTCCACCCTTCATTGCCCCCTCCCCCCATGTGATAAATGTTGGTTGCTCCCTGATGCAGAATTAATGATGCATTGTTCCGGTCAGGAGAAATTTGAAAACATCTTTGAAACACGTTTAATCGGCCATGAAGACCAAAATTGAAAGCTGACCGTAGAGTTTGAGGAAGGAGGCTTTCTTTTTCTTTCAATTCTTTGGAGGACTGACTTACCGTGTAAACTTCTTTGAAGACTAGCGTAACCTTCCGCAGTTTAGTCAACGTTTATCTAACTTTCACTAAGTTATCTACCATCCTTACAAAATAAAATAAAAAAAGAAGAAAACTCGAGACAAAAGTCAATTTTCAATTGACCGTTTGCTCGTCCCATCGAGCGTACGCCAAATAACTCAGTTTTTCTCTTCCTCTAAAGATGCAACGATTTGCTTGTAATTACTAAATTACTCTGAAAAAAAGCCTCCGTAAAATTAAAATTAAAGTCCATCATAAGTTCTTTTGTTCTACTGTAAATTGTTTTCAGCAAGTAACAGATACTGTTACATAGTTCAAAATTTGTCGATCAAACATCAATATGTGAAGGTCTACGTTTAGATCTATTATCGGAATCGAATTAACAACCCACACAGAATCCACCGCTTGAATAGGCTTGCTCTATATCTGAAAAAATGTTAAAGTAACTACCGCCCTTTAATCTGTGTCTACTGAAGAACTGTAGCGTTTGAAACTGAGAAAAAAATATCCGCGTAAAATAAGTCCTAAGGGTGCCTCAGACAAACTTTGCACGCCCGCTCGCGTTTGAATTACAGTCCCAGAGTGCTTATTCGGGAGCAACGCTTAATCCAATGAATACAATTTGCGTGCGAGAAAGGGATTCGACATATAGGGAACACCTTTTTACTTTTTCCTGAGGTTTTTGTCACATTCGTTGCAGCCCATGTAAAAGTGATAAGCTGAACTGCTACAAGCTACGCCAAGGGTAAAGCGAAACAAGGAAAGTTCATCTTCACCGTATTGTCACAAAGGCGTACAACTGTCCAGGCTTATCTCGACTGCTTAGCTGTTGTGATCTCTTCACTATGTTATGTTCTTATCGGCTTTTAAGATTTTGTGATAGAAGACAGTACATAATCTATGTCGTCACAGTTACCACAGAGGAATTCACGACATCTTAATGGATCTCATGGTTGACTTTGTCTCAATTTTTTTTTGACATCCAATGTTGTCATCGCGTAGAAAAAGTCTTTCTTCAAAGCTAAAAGGACTGCTTGAAACAAGAGATGTGAAAACAGGTAATAGAGAAAAGCTTTTAAAGTATCTTATGACACTCAGTCTAATTGTTAGCAATGACTTAACCCCCTTCCGTTCCACCTGAAAACCAGATGATCCCCTAATATCTTTCCACCCCAAAATATTTTCTTCCTTATTTTGACTAAGTCCTCTGCCATCCTCACAAAAACCACCGAGGAATTCATGGCATCTTAATGGTTCACTTTCTCTCAATTTTTCTTGATATCCCTTGTTGTCATGGTAAAGCTTAAAGGACTGCTTGAAACAAAAGATGTGCATACAGGTACCAGGAAAGAGATTTTAAGGCATCTTATTACACTCAGCTTAATTGAATAACCAATTGACTTCGACTCTGATGCTAGTGACCTTCGCATTTTTTGCCTTAGTTAACCTTTAGGTTGATAAACATCTTTCGTGAAAAGTTTTATACAAAGATGCCTCATTTTCTTCTATCTTAAATTGAAACAGCAATCTACTTAACTCCTCAAACCCTCAAAAAGTAATTCCTTTAAACGTGTCACTGAGATATTTAATTTATTAACAACTGACGAAAAAACGCTACTCGATTTTGTCATGATGGAAATCTAGGGCTAACAAGATTCTGTTAACGGTGGTTATAAAATTTTAAAGCCTCATTTGGACGTTTTTTTGGTTGTTAATGGTTGAAAAGGGAAATTGGAATGTTCCTCGGAAGACCTTTCTGATCAATTTGAAACGATTGAAGAAAGTTTTCACGATGAAATCTCTTTCAGATAGAAGCCAATCGATAAGAATCTTGGATGAAAAACGATTTTTGCCTAAAGTCCGGTCCTGACTAACACCCCAAGAACTCAGACTCTGTCATTTTGGTCTTGTCCTCCAGTGATTGAGAAGCATACTATGTTATCAAAGGACGAAAACTGAATTAGTTGCAGGCGTAAGCTAAATGAAAAGTTTGACGAACAGAATGGCCAGTCTAGGAGTGATTCTCAAGGTAAAAACAACCAAACTGCCTAAACGTGGGTCACTAAGTTGTGATTGGTTTCAATTTTGCATCTGATTGGTTGAGAGAGTGACTCGAGCTTTCATAACCAATCACAGAACGAAGTAAAGTTAAATCAATGCAATCTTGGATTACTTTCGACACTCAATTGAAAATTTCTCTAATGATAATAATAAATGCTTAAAAAATGATTAGTGATAATGATAAAAAGCCTAATTATGATCTAAGATGAAACGAACTCTTCATACAAATAAACTTTCCTAACTAACTACATAGACATTTACAATCATAAATTTCAACTACAATCTTCAAAATAAATCGATCCTCTAAATGGTTCCTAAATCTAAGTTAAATTTAAGACAATTAGGAAATAAAGAAAGGTGACTTTTTCCGTTTTTCTCTAACATTCACTACCAAATAAACTTCCCCTTAAATGTTAAAGAGATAAGGCGGAACTACATTTTCATTTCCCTGAATCGGACAAGTCGTTTCTTCCTGAAACTAAATAGGCGTATATTACCTGTTTTATTTTTTTCCAATGATGTGAAAAGTGGAAAAAAAATGCTTCTTAAAGACAGGCTAGCGCCATAGGCTGGTCTAAAAATTAAACAAATTGTTCTCTCGACTTTTAAATATTATTGGTTACTAGTTACAGTCAAATGAAGAGCTTGCGCTTTATTTTTTCTTTTTAATTTCTTATGACTAATTCACATTGAGGTACCAGCCTGTGAGAAGCATAAGATTCGTTTTGTCAATTTCTAGCTTAAAATAAACATTATGTTCCACTTGCTCTGCACATCAATTGAATACTCACTAAGGTTTACATTGTTTAGACAAGAAACAGACATAATGCAGTCATAAGAAATACGAATAGTCATTTTGAAAGATGTCTTTGGACAGAGAAATATGATATATGTAAAACTCTATGGATGTATAAAATTTAGATTTCCTCACACCCACACCCTGCAATTTCATTTGCTTCACTTGATGCCATAGAAACGCTGCTCGCCTCTGGGCAAATGTCATCGCGAGTGATCGTGAAGATTTGGGTTTTTCTCGGTGGGATCACTGGGGAAATTCCGTTCACGTTGACGCCAATTTGAACAAGAACCACTTATACAAGGCGAAAGCTAAAATGTCATCGAAAGCATCAAAAACTAGAATAAAGCAAGGATGAGGAGAGGGAAAAATGAAGGAAAAATAAAAAGGTAGAAAGGGGAAGGTAAGACTTTCAGTGAATCCCCATTTTGTTAAGCTCACAGTCTATCTACATTATGACGTTTTTCTTCTGTCTGCGCACCGCGGCCATCGCTACCGTTACTGTGCTGAGTAAATTGAAATGAAAATTTTTTACACATTTCACCCCAAGTGTCAGTGGTGGCAGAAATATGTGAAAGTCGAAGCTCTTTGACAGACATTCTCGAAAACTTTACTAAAGAGTTATAACCAGAGGTTACGAGTAACTCGGAAGGACTCTCCCATATTCTTCAGGAGCTACGGCCTTGCAATCAAGCGGACTAGGTCCCTGTGGAATAATAGGATTAAATCTATATTATAATCATTATTGTTATTATTAGCATTCCAAGTTCCTGTAAAACTAACACTTCATGCCACAATCCTTGTTTGATCTTTTTCTCAACCCTTAAATAAATCAACTTGCAATGGACTTAGCCCTCCTTCAGCGTGGATACCCTGCGAAATGATTCTCATATATCCACCTACTAAAAATTCAATTTTTACCGTGATTCGTTAAGTTTTCGTACTCTATTTCTTTACGATGTTGAATTCGCAATTGGAATCACACAATCGAATTTGAGCGTTTGGGATCAAGTGACATAAGACTAAGACTAAAGTAATTCCCTAAACGGAACAAAGTAAACATTACAGGATGTAAACATTACAAGGTTTATGAGACCTGAAAGTAAACGCCACGATTAGAGACTTGAAAACACGAATAATTAAGTCGAGATTTGAGTTTAGTCCTTCTTCTGATTGGTTGATTGATTGCCAAAAGCTTGCGAGTGGGCCGTCAATATCAGCACTTCTGCGCAGGCGTTTCTTTACCCGCGACAAAGTAAGTTTTAGACCGTAAGAAAAAAAAAAAAAAAAAAAGAAAAGGGCGAGGCAAGGGATCTAGGCTCATTTTTAGTGCCGCACCCTCCCACTTCAAATAACAAACACTTCCCCAGGCTCGTCACAAATTTTCTTGTGAGCAGAGAAACGCACTTGCCGCTGGGCCATTAATAATCGAGGGCCTGCTCGCCTGCTCGTAGGATACGATCGCACAAGTTTATAAACCAATCGCGGGGTGTAATTAGGCAAAAGAAATGTATCATGGGTGATTAAGCTCAGGCACTCATTTGAAGATTGCTGTGAGTTAGATCATGTGAATTTGTCACGGCCCACACTCTCGAGTAAATGATGTGAAGGATTTGTCTCATTCGAATGGAGAAATGATTCACAGGACTAATCTAGAAAGTTATATGGATTGGTTCCCTGCGAATTTCAACGAAGCCTCTTAACTGGGGTGGGAAATTACTTTAAAAAAATCCAGTTGAGAAGTAAAGACCAGGATATACCGTTACAACCTTAAATTTCGTTTAATTTCTTAGATCACAGTTTATTGATTCGTTGATTCCACTTATTCGTTACAGTATTATTGTTTAGCAGATAAAGTAGCATGCATATTTTGAACATAAAGGATGAAAATACAAGCTCTAAACACCTCTTTCTAACCGAGTTCGTAACTAACAGTACAGCCCGAAAAAAACAAGTAACTAGGATATTTATTATTTTTCCAGGTTCAAACAGAGGAGGGAGATTTCAGTTTAAACAAACTTTTTGAATTTAGCGAGGCGTACAGTAAAATTCGGCTGAGATATGTTAAAACTGTGCATTGATCAGAATCTGGTTATTTCACCCAAGGTGCCCCTCAGACTCCTTTCAAGAAACACAATAAAATCATCTATGTATTTCATTCAAATTAACGTTTTTTTGTGGCAAATAGCAATCTTTGCCGTTAGGAAACAACTTAATTGTTGGATCCTCTAATTTGAGGGCGCTTTCAACATATGCGACGTTTTGTTGGGACATCATAAATTTATTTAAGGGCTTTTTGTCTAAAGAATTATCACCCATTACACCAAACGCTCCCACGACTTGATTGGTATTCAAGTTCAAGCAACAGCCCACCGTCCACATTGAGTTTGGAATTTCGATCTTTTGTTGTGCATCCACTTTGCCATGGAACAACTCCATTTTATCCACCGACTTATCCACCTCGGTTATTTCGCCTTGAAGATTAAGTTTCTCATCAAATTTAACCTGTGATGTTCCAGTGATCAGGTAAAGAGTTCCGCCTATTGGAGCACAATAGTCCTGAGCATATTTCCCTATTTTTAGTTCGTACTTTTTCCACTGACCTGTGTTGAAATTCCCAATTTGCGGCACGCAGTTGGTGTAGGTGAAAGTGGCACGAACACTTTCATCGCTGTAACGTAAGATGTTAACAGGAACGAGGTGACCTTTGTGGTATCTACCCGGAAAAGGTTGGTTTTGATACAATGCACTGCTTCCTTGACGAATCCCTGATCATGAGAGAGTTTTAAAGTACGCTGATGTCAGTCACAAGCCAAGAAATTTTGTTCTCTATCGATCCGCTAGGTAAATAAAGTTTTCACCCTCCCAATCACGGTTGCAAAATGTTAAAGCCAAGGAAATTGTTTGCTTAAAATGATTTACCCATCATTCACGACTCTTCTCACAGGTCTCTCCTCTTTCCATTTGTATTTTTGCTCCATTGTACCTGCAGTGTAATACCGTCGCATGTTTTGCGTGCACCGTACGCGTTGCCTTAATGTGGTAAAATGGCGTTATGATGCATAATGTAAATGTATATCATATCTACCTAATATCTATCCATCCATCTATATATAAGAACACGTACACGTATACATATGTATATACACCCGTTTTCGAGTGTTTTAACTTTAAGTTCACGAAATACTCGCATAACCCTCCTCTCAGCATCTTATCGATCGCATTAGGAGTGCGTGAAAGACAAAAACAACACGACGAACAGACGTTGTAGTAGTGGAATGACAAACGAATTAATTTTTTTCCTAAATTTCTTCATTAAAAAAGTAAATTTAAACAGTAACACTGATTAACTTACCTGGCGTCTTATCCAGTTGCCATGGGTCATTAGGTCTTGGTACTGGGTTTGTCTTGGCTTTCAAGGCTTGTGCGGCGGTAATCTTGTAGAGTGTGTACCGTGCAATTCCCCAATTATTATTATAGAAAATGGCATATTGATTGTCTGGGCAGAGGGGAAGGGTGACACCTGGCTGCTCTGGAAAGGTTGGTTTTTTATCACCCAATGAGAAGGAGTCAAGATCGCACGCTGGTACTACGCGACGTACTGGTTGTTCACCCAGGTGTTCTCCTTGCTCATCGTAATCTTTGACGCAAGAAAAAGTTGCCTTTTTATTCATATTATCAAATGTTCCTCAAAATTATGCTATATTTCATAAATCTTATCCTTTATAGAGATTATTCATTCGAAAGAAGATGACGACTACCTCCACAGGGGTTCGTGTGTTATTCTTCCATTCGATTCTCACTCTAGGGTAATGATAAAAGTTAATATTTCAATCGTTGATAAATCAGCTTTTTTTAATTGTTTTGCTGAACAAAATTAGAGCTCGAGTGAGAATATCTGTCTTTCTGTAAAACGTTCTTTAAAGAAATGCAGTTTAGGACCATATGTAATTTTCATTTTAAATGTTTCCGAAAAAAAGCTTTTTAAAATTGTTTTGCTGAACAAAATTAGACCTCGAGTAGGAATGTCTGTCTTTCCGTAAAACATTCTTCAAAGAAATGCAGTTTAGGATTATTTGTAATTTTCATGTTAGCCCTATGAGCTCTACAACAATTAAATTTTCGTATACAAATCAATGAACCAGTCATTTGTCTTTTATCGCCTGGGAAAAAAAGGGGGGGGTGAGGGGATGGGAGGGGGGTTGTTGTAGTATTCTAATGATCCCCACTCATCTACAATCAATTTCCTATAGTTTTCCTTTTATACTCTGTAAAACAACGACCGATCCCCATTTCGTTCTCTTGAAAACCATATGAACCCCCCTAAAAAATACTTTGGCCCCCTAAAATCCTCCTTCCATTCCCCCCTCTCCCCCCATGTGATAAATGTTGGTTGCTTCCTAATGCAGAATTAATGGCGTATTGTTCCGGTTAGGAGAAATTTGAAAAAATCTTTGAAACATATTTCATCAGCCATGATGACCAAAATTGAAAACTGACCGTAGAGTTTGAGGAAGGAAGCTCTCTATTTCTTTGAATTCTTTGGAGGACTGACTTGCCGTGTAAACTTCTTTGAAGACTAGCGTAACCTAGCGCAGTATAGCCAACGTTTATCTAACCTTCGCTAGGTCATCTGCCATCCTCACAAAGTTAAAAAAAGAAAAGAGACGAAAACTCGAAACGAAAGTCAATTTTCAATTAGTCGCTTGATCGGCCCATCGAGCGTACACCAAACATCTCAGTTTTCTTTTTGTACTAAAGATGCAACGATTTGCTCGCTAAACTTCTCTAGGAAAAAACTTCCGTGAGATAAAAATTAAAGTCCATCACAATTTCTTTTGTGCTACTGTAAATTGTTTTCAGCAGGTAACAAATAGTGTATCTCAAAGTTTAATTTTTTCTAGAAGTACATAGTTCAAAATTTGTCGATCAAACATCCATATGTGAAGGTTTATGTTTAGATCTACTATCGGAATCGTTGTTTGCAAAAATTTAAAAGTAACTACCGCTCTTAAAGGTGTGTCTACTGAAGAACTCTAGCGTTTGAGACTGAAAAAAAAATTTCCGCCGTAAAATAAGTTTCAAGGGTGCCTTAGACAAACTTTGCACGCCCGCTCGCGTTTGAGTTACAGTTTCAGATGGCTTATGCAGGAGCAACGCTTAATCCAACGAATACAGTATGCGTGTGCTGAAGAGATTCGAAATAAAAGGAACACTTTTTTACCTTTTCCTGAGGTTTTTGTCACATTCGTTGCAGCCCATGTTAAAGTGGTTAGCTCAACTGCTACAAGCAACGCCAAGGGGAAAGCGAAACCAAGAAAGTTCATCTTCACCGTATCGTCACAAAGAGGTACAACGGTTTAGGGTTATCTTGACTGCTTAGCTGTGTGATCTCTTCACTGTTGTGTTCTTATAAGCTTTTAAGATTTTTGTGACGGAATACATTACATAATTTATCTCGTCACAATTACCACATAAGAATTCATGGCATCTTAATGGATCTCATGGTTCACTTTGGTTCAATTTTTTTTTTGACATCCAATGTTGTCATCGTGTAGAAAAAACCTTTCTTCAAAGCTAAAAGGGCTGCTTGAAACAAAAGATGTGAATACCTACAGGAAATAGAGAAGAACTTTTAAAGTATCTTATGACACCCAGTCTGATTGAATAAGCAGTTGATTTCGAATCTACTGCTGTTGACCTCAGAAATTTTTTGCCCAAGTCAACCTGTAAGTCAATAGATACCTTTAAGAGAAATATTTTTACAAATGTTTTGACTTCTTCTCGGAAAAAAACTAGCAACCGAACATTTTCAGCTGACAAATAGGCCACTAATTAATATGTCTTTATCCGAAATATGAAGCTCTTGGACCCCATATCCTCACTCCAACTACTTGCAAAAACTCTTACATATTTAAAATATATCAAAGTTCACACGGTAACCAGGTGGACAATGAGACATGGTTTGATGCTACTCTGGTTTGCAGATTTAATGAATGTAACCGAAGAAGTTTCAATTCATAGACCCAATGTTTCGACACTCCTGTCTAGTGCCTTCATCAGGGGTGATCTAAACGCTGCAACAAGAGGTCCTTTTAGATGATCACTAATTAGCGGTCTTTTTTCTGACGAGGTGTAAATGGGCGTCAGGAAGCAAACCGCCATTGTCACGATTTAAATGAGCGTGGGCGGAGTTAATGCCAAGCCTCCAAACAAAGGCGCTGGTGGTAACACCGGTTAGCGGTGATAATTTTAGAATTATCCCACCCAATTGTTTGGTTGGTTAGACATGTGTACTCTGATAAAGCAGAATTTTCCTTTTTGCAAAAGAAAACCGCTTTTTGATGCTCTTTTAAACGTGTACCAAACTGACGTTTGGTCTGTCCGATGTATTCGTGGTCACAGTCATTGCATGGAATAGAATAAATAGCGTCGGTTCGTTGTTCTTTCGTGACAGGATCCTTAGGTTTGGCTAAAATATGCCCCAAAGTCTGAAAAGGTTTTTGCGCAACTTTAACGTTGTGGCTATTTAAAATTCTCTTGATGGGTTCGGTAACACCTTGAATGTAAGGAATAACAGGAAAACCAGTAGCTGGTTCCCTTTCATCAAGAGCGTTACTAGTTGTAACTGGTTTTTGGCAGTCACGGAAAAAGGTTTTTGTATAGCCATTTGCCTTTAGGACATTAGAAACATATTTTCTCTCCTCAGCCTTCGAATCAAGTGAAGATGGTAGACAGTCAGCCCTCCTAAGTAAAGTTTTGGCTACAGACTTTTTATGGCAAATAGCGTGGTGAGAATCGAAAGCGAGGTATTTGTCGGTGTGAGAAGGTTTACGGTAGACACTTGTCTCTAAATTACCCTGAACCCCTCTGGACACATTTAAATCAAGAAAAGGCAAATGTCTATCCTTTTCACTCTCAAGGGTGAATTGGATCGAAGGCTCTACTGAATTCAAATGCGACAGCAGGTACTCCGCTTCATTTCCGGATACCGCAGATATAACATCATCGACATATCGTTTCCAGAAAAAGGGTTTAACCGGTGAAGTGGCTTAGGCCCTTTGTTCCACGTCTTCCATTACCATGTTAGCAATGACAGCAGAGACAGGCGAACCCATCGCTGTACCAAAAACTTGTTGATAGTGGGTGCCGTTATATGTACATTGCGTGGTTTTGAGGCAAAAAGTCAGCAGAGGAATAATATCCTCCACAGGCAAAGAAGTTCTTAGTCCTAGGGAGGCATCTTCTCTGAGTCTCTCCTCCGCAACCTTAACGGCAGGTTCAACTGGGATTTTAGTGAAGAGCGAAACAACGTCGAAAGGTACTAGTTCTTCACAAGCGTTGAGAGTTTTATCTCTTATAAAATCCGCAAATTCGCAGGAATTTTTGACAGTGTAATCAGTATTCCCAACAACAGGCGACAAAATTCTCGTAAGATAACCACAAAAGAGACAATGGGTCTCAAAGGAATTCCCGGTTTATGAATTTTAGATAAGCCATAAAAACGTGGACATAAGCCGTCACTACTGCAGAACATTTTGTACGTAGAGTCACTAATTTTACCAGCTTTTTTCAAATCAAGCAACATTTTGTTTAACTTTCTTTGAGTTTTACTGGTAGGATCAGAGGTTAAGACAGCATACGTACTCTTGTCATTAAGCAGAGACAAAGCTTTGTCGTGATATTGCTGTTTGTCCATAACCACAACACAATTACCCTTGTCAGCAGATAATACGAGCCTGTCCGGATCCTTTTTTAAGAGCTATAAGCGCATTGAAAACATCCTTTTGTATGTTTTTTGGGAGGAGGTTTAGCTCGTATGAGTATGCTGCTTACTTCTGCTATTACCAAATGCCTATGGTCGTCGTTGAGTTGAGAGATACTCTCCTCAACAGCGGCGACAATTTCGGCAGTCGGTATTTTGCGAGGAGCAATAGCAAACTTCAGACCCTTCTCTAAACCACTCCGTTCCGACGCGGATAACTCCTTGGAGGAATGGTTCATGACCCATTTTTCTTTCAGAGATGAGCCGGAATTAACAGGAGACCTCTTACTGAGCAAATGACGGAATTTTCTGTCGTGATTCTCTCTCTGTTTGGTAAACGTCTGTAGTTCTTTCGAACTGCAGAACTCCTCCACCTAAGAAGTTTCGGAGTTGTTAATCAAAGCAGAGAGTTCACTGAGTGAACGAGAGAATAACGCACGCAAACGCAGTATGAAACTTTGACATTCATCTATTCGTAGCTTAAGAAAAGAAAAACCAGCACGGACCATGAGCTTGTATCCTCTGGCACTCCGTAAAGGAGGCCGAAATCTCAAACTCGATGGAAGGACATAGTTTTCTTTACAACGGTGCTTGAAATACAAATGACAGCGATACTTAGTAATGCGAACTCTGATGTTCGCGAGCCGGTTGACCTTTGTAACAACAGTATGACCGTACTTTTCTCGCAAATGAAATATATTAAAGTTCACACGGCAACCAGGTGGACAATTAGACCTGGTTTGATGCTACTCCGGTTTGCAGATTTAATGAATGTAACCGAAGAAGTTTCAATTCATAGACCCAATGTTTCGACACTCCTGTCTAGTGCTTTCATCAGGGGTGATCTAAACGCTGCAACAAGAGGTCCTTTTAGATGATCACTAATTAGCGGTCTTTTTTCTGACGAGGTGTAAATAGGCGTCAGGAAGCAAACCGCCATCGTCACGATTTAAAGGAGCGTGGGCGGAGTTAATGCCAAGCCTCCAAACAAAGGTGCTGGTGGTAACACCGGTTAGTGGTGATAATTTTAGAATTATCCCACCCAATTGTATGTTAGAGCGTTACTAGTTGTAACTGGTTTTTGGCAGTCACGGAAAAAGGTTTTTGTATAGCCATTTGCCTTTAGTGAGTGGGATAATTCTAAAATTCTTTGACCCCAAAATCTTTTCGTCCTAATCTTGACTAAGTCAGCTGCCATCCACACATAAACCACTTAGGAATTTATGGCATCTTAATGGATCTCATGATTCACTTTCTCTCAATTTTTCTTGATATCCCGTGCTGTCATGGTAAGGCGAAAATGGACTGCTTGAAACAAAAGATATGCCTACAGGCAACAGGGAAGAGATTGTAAGGCATCTTATAACACCCAGTCTAATGGAATAACCAATTGACTTCGATTCTGATGCTAGTGACCTTTGCAATTTTTTACCTTTGTTAACCTGTAGGTTGATAAATATCTTTCGTGGAAATTTTTATACAAAGGTGCCTCATTTGTCTTAAAACCTGTCACTGAGATATTCAATTTGTTAACAACTAACGAAAAAAACTGTATTCGATTTTGTCATGATGGAAATCTAGGGCTTACAAGATTGCGCCAATGGTGGTTATAAAATTTTAAAACCTCATTTGGACGTTTTGTGGCTTTCAATGGTTGAAAAGGGAATTTGAATTTTTCCCCGGAAGACCTTTCTGATCAATTTGATACAATTGAAGAAAGTTTTCACAGTGGAATCTCTTTCAGATAGAGGCCAATCGATAAGACTCGTGGATTAATTAATAATTTTACCTTAAGTCCTGTCATTTCGGTCTTGTCCTTCAGTGATTGACAAGCATACAATGTTATCAAAGGACGAAAACTAAGTCAGTTGCAGGCGTAAGCAGAATGATCACATTGATGATTCTCACTTTCTAATCTTTATTATAAATAAACTCTCCTAACTAAATACATCGACAGCTACAATTATAGATTTCAACTACAATTTTTAAAATAAAACGATCTACTAAATCTTTTTACAATAAAAATCAACGGTAAAACAGGACGTTTCGACCAAACTTCGGTCATTTTCAAGCGAATGGTAAGAATATAACAATGAATATATATATGTGCGTAAGAAATGTAAAATTTTTGGACGTGTAAACGGACACTAAGAACCCTACAAAAAGAAGAAATAATCAGAAGCTAATTAAAAACAAATATAAATTAAAACCCTAATTAAAAAGACCTAATTAAGTTTTTAATTAGATTCTAGTTTTAATTAGATTTTTAATTAGGTTTTTTAATTATGTTTTTAACTTTTATTTGTTTTTAATTAGCTTCTAATTATTTCTTCTTTTTGTGGGGTTCTTAGTGTCCGTTTACACATCCAAAAATTTTACATTTCTTACACGCATGCATATATATATATTTATCGTTACATTCTTACCATTCGCTTGAAAATGACCGAAGTTTGGTCGAAACGTCCTGTTTTACCGTTGATTTCTACTGTAAAAAGTTTTACCAAATCACTATTGATCTAATTAATAGTTTCTAAATCTTAGTTACATTTAAGGGTGCGTTTCTTTAAAAAAATCCAAATCCGGATTCTTGAATCCAAAAACGGATTTTGCGTTTCTTTAATAAAATCCGAAAATGGATTTTGAATCTATAGAATCCACACTCCGAGTGGATTCATTAGATCAAATCTAAATCCGGATTTTTAGGATTCATGATCCGTGCGTTTCTTTATTGCACGGATACAAAAAGCAGTACGTTTGGCAAGCGGTCGTCTTCTTAAAATCCGCCACATTCCCGCCATTTTGTTGTAAATATTAGCTGCTGCCGGCCATGGCGAATAAACAAGGTGAGTTTTTTGTGTAGTTTCACCGAAATTTTCCGTCCTGTACGTATTTTTATAAATTTTCCGGATGTTTGATGCGTCTTGGCATCTTTTATTTCTATCTACAGGACAATATTGGACGCACAGTTTATCTGCAGGTGAATATCCAGAATATCAGTGGAACGAAAGCCACGTTCAACCGGGCATTCAACCTTATCTTCCTCAGTTCATGTTTCCACCACCGCAGGCATCACAGTTCAGCCATGAAACAGTCAGATCAGTATCACCTCAGCCTGGTCCAAGTTTTTCTTCTTTGAAACAGCTGCAGCCACGTTCAGTCAGTCGCGTGAAGGCACCGAAGGCGAATCGAGAGCTCTTGTACGCTGGTCTAGAGCTGATGTGCTGTTGTTAATTTCCTGCTATGTCGAACGCAGAGAACGATTTAAAGATATAAACAAAAAGAACAAGTCCCTGTGGGAAGAAATCAGCGAAGAATTAAAGAAGAACGGAGTGTTCTTTAATGCCAAGGCGTGTGAGACGAAATTGAAAAATCTGAAGAGAAGTTATGTTGCTTGTGTTGATCACAACAAAGTCAGCGGAAATGACCGAAAGAAATGCAACTTCTATGACGAACTTCACGAAATATTTTCGAAAGATGATGCCATCGCTCCAAAAACATTGTGCAGCAACATTGATGGTAAACGGAGCAAAGATGCAGTCAAGAGTGTTAAAAATTCCAGTTCCACATTGAGTTCCACAGGTAGTGACACAGAGGAGCCTGTGGTTACAAAAAAAAAAGAAAAAGAAGTTACCAGAGCGGAAGAAAAGAGAAGACCTCGTTGGGCTCTTTAAGGAATTTACACAAGACAGGAAAGAGGAAGAAAAGGAAAAGATTAAAAAGTTTGAAAATATGCACAATGAACGCATGGCACTCATCGGCCGATTTTTGAATGTTTTTGAAAATCATTGAACAAAGAGTAACCTTGATTCCATAATTTTTATTGTGTTGCAGAACATGGGATTATTTGACCACAAACATGAACATAGATACAGTAAACCTGAGTTTGTTGTCAGTATTGAGTTATCTAAAAGTTTATTATATCATACATGTTAACAGTATTATTGCAAGTTGTATGTTTTTTTTATCACATACATACAAGGAACTACAACAGCAACATTAGGTGAGAGGGCCTAACTAAACTGGTTTTGATATTATTTATATCCTTTGCTTTTTTTAGCCTGATTCTCAGATGCTTCAGATCACTTGTGTCACGCACTTCCTCCTTTCTGTGCGTGACACAAGCAACCTGGACTGTCAGAGTATTAGGCTGTTACATTTGTGTTGAAAGTTTACATTTCAAGCAACACCATAAATGTTTCAGGTAGTATAAAGTGATCCATGTACATGGCTCTACTATTTTCTTATATACTTTTAAAAACAAATAAAATATTGATATTTATAGCAAAAAGACTATTATACAGTATAAACTTTATGAATGACATACACCACCTATGAAAGAAGTGTTCATGAAAACACCACAGTACAAAAGGTATCAATACATAAACCACTTATAAATGCTAGGTTTATGGGATCAGTCTCATTATCATGTTTCTCTTATCAACTGCTCCTACACCTGGTGGAAAGATGTCATCATCATTGTCATCATTGTCATCATCATCATTAGAGTCATCTAAAAAATCATCGATGTCATCTTCAATAATGCAAATGTTGTGTAAGATGCAAGAGGATACAATAATTTCCGGTATGTCCTCAATTTTGTTAACATCCATCATTGTTTTTAGCTTCCTAAACCTGTTCTTAAAAAGCCCTATGGACCTCTCAACCACCATTCTGGTGGAACTGTGGGCAGTATTGTAACGTCTTTGTTGAGCAGTCAAACGTCCGTTGTCTCGAAATGGGGTCAACAGCCACCTCTTCAAGGGATATGCTGCGTCCCCCAAAATGTGGGAGTTGCCAGGAAAATAATTGTCTGGGTTCACTTCAACTTCTCGGCAGATCGGAGAATTACGAAACACGCGAGCATCGTGTACTGAACCAGGGTAACCACAGAAAACATCGGTTATGAATAAATCCGGGTCACAAATGAATTGTAGTTGGACGGAAAAGAAACCTTTGCGATTTATGTATTGTTCATGATTGTTATGTGGTGCTTTGATTGGTATGTGGGTGCCATCAATAGCCCCCAAAACACCCGGAAAACCCTTTTTCTCTTCAAAGGCCTCCATCACCGCTTGGGCTTTTAGACCAGTTGGAAACTTGATAAACTCATCCATTAAGTTCCTCACTATTGCTTTGCAAACTCGTCTGTAGACTCTGTACGCAGTTGCCCTGCAAACATCAAATCGATCGGCAACAGAGCGTAAACATTCTGGATTCCCAAGAATCCACAGCGTAATAAGGATTTGCTTTCTTAACTCGACCGGTGGTCTTCCTCTATCGCCGGTGTATTGAGGTAAGTCGCCGTGGACCGAAAGCAAATGTTCGAGAACTGTAATTGTATGCCGTGACATGCGGAAGTGACTTCGGAAGTCCTCCGGTATGTAACTAGGTACGGTTATTTCGTAAAAATTCTTTGTGCGAACGTGTTCTTTTCGGACGAGCTGTCCGGCCGCCAAAAGGAATAAAACTGCTTCGTCATCGGCTCCTAAAAGAACCTGTTGTTGTTCAAGGTCATCGGCAAGGACTTCTTCGAACAGTTCAAACATCAAACCAAAACTTTCCGCCATTTTGAAAACTCCCCCCAAAACACGCGAACTGCATGCTGGGGTCGTTACGGCTAATTGAAAAAAAAATCCATTTTCGGATTTTTCGTGTCTTTAAAAATAACGAATCCGCATGATCTCGGATTAAGAATCCAATCTTGGATTTTTTTAAAGAAACGCACCCTAAGATAGTAAGGAAATTTTTTTCGTTTATCCTTGACATTTACTACCAAATAAATTACCCCTAAAATGAGAAGAACTACATGAAAACGTTTTCTTTTCCTTTAGTCCTTTGTTTCTAAACTAGAGAGGCGTATATTGCCTGTTTAATTTTTTTTTCAGTGATTTGGAAAGTGGACAAAAATTATTTTCTCGCTAAAAGACAGAGCAGCGCTATAGACTGGTCTTAAAATTAAACAAAATGTTCTTTCGACTTTTGAATGTTATTAGATACTAGTTACGGTTAAATGAAGAGCTTGCACTTTGATGTTTTTTTCTGATGACTAATTCACGTTGAAGTACCAGCCTGTGAGAAGCAAAGGATTTGTTTTGTCAATTGCTAGCTTATAATATGTTCCACTTGCTCAGCACATCAGTCTCTGATGAAACTTACAATAATAATTTTGACATTCTAGGTCCATGGAGAAATGAGTATTTAACCCTGTTCTCTACTAATTCATAATCCTTGTGGAATTCGCTGTTTTCAAACTAAGTTTGCCTTTTATCTCGCAAAGCGGATAGAGAAGTGTTACGCGCGCAGCCAACCCGTTAAACAGGTTTTTACACAGTACACAATAACCAACTGTCCAAATAACTGCACAATGTCGCAGGATATCTGTACTCTATTCGCGCGTTATTTGTACTCTTCTTTGTGCTGTTGGATAATAATTAAGGCTTACTCGCATGCTATCTTTTGTCTGATATCAGTCATCAAGGACATTGAGTGTTAGGTGAAGATATAGCGGTTTTTCGGTATATAGATTTAATCTCTTGCGATTAAAATCCGTTTGTTTCTGATAGCTGAAAAAAAAAACCTTGTAGTCTAAGACCTTGAGAAAGCAGTATCAGGATAACAATAACAGCAGACGGGCACACAAACATTCAAACAGATAGACAGACATTGAGATAGTCAGAAAGTCAGTCAAATAAACATGGAGAAAATCAGTTGGTCAGAAAGATAGACATTCAGATAAAGAGAAAATAAATGACTGTCAGGTGGTCAGAAAGTCGGTCAGATAGAGAGCTAAGCAGTCTGCCGCTAAGGCAGACAGACAAACAGTTACTCAGTAAATAAAAGGTAAACGCAGGGTTTTCAATGAAAGCCGGTTGTCCTCGGCCTACCCCCGCCTTAATCAGACCTCTCACCGCTCTTGTGTTTGAGTTTCGCTCTACGCCCCCTTTTCCGGGCTCAGCCGCCTATTCAAGCACCGTCGGCAGCCGCTTATGGCAAAGGTTATTGAAACCCATGTGAGTGTCCAGCCTAAGAACACAAGACAGTATTCCGGAATAACGCTCTGACCAAGACCCTTTTAATACGACCTCGAGGCCACCGCCTACATCTGTACAAACACTTTAATCAGTTTGATTGCTTAGATTGCCTATATCATGAAAGAGTCTCTGATGCAGTTAACAAAATAGTCGTATTTACTTACAGTTCGATACAGGCAGGACCAGGTTTAAACTCGTCCTGTTCCGTGAAAGCAAAGCACCTTGTGCTCATAATATCCTTTTTCGGTTTGTAATGTTTAAAGTCAAGGAATATTGTGGAAATATCTTTAAGAAAGATCTTTAAGAGCCGATGCGAACTCGAGGTAAAAACAACCAAACAGCCTAAAGCACGGGAAAACGCGGGCCACTAAGTCGTGATTGGTTTCAGTTTTGCATCTGATTGGTTGAGAAAGTGACTCGAGCTTTTTGAACCAATCACAGAACGAAGTAGAGTTAAGCCAATGCAATCCCCGAATACTTTCTACTCTCAAATTAAAATTTCTCTAATGATGATGATAAAAACTCTAATTATGATATGCGATGCAACGAGCTCTTCCAAAAAATAAACATCCCTATCTAAACACACGGACATATACAATTATATATTTCAACTAAAATTTTTTTAAAATAAATCGATCTACTAAATAATTTTTAAATCGAAGTTACATTTAAGATAATTAGGAAATAAAGAAAGATGATTTTTCAACACCCAACACCACATAAATTGCCCCTAAAATGTTAGCCTTTGAGAAGCATAGGATTCGTTTTGTCAATTTCTAGCTTTTAATTTGTTTTACTTGGTCTGCACATCAGTTGAATACTCACAAAGGTTCACATTTTTAGACAAGAAACAGACATAATGCAGTCATGAGAAATACAAATAGTCATTTTGAAAGCTGTCTTTGAACAGAGAAATTTGATTTTAGGAAGAACTACATCAAAACATTTTCTTTTCCTCTATCGGAAAGTCCTTTTTTCTTAAACTAAATAGGCGTATATAACCGTTTTCATTTTTTTTCCAATGATGTGAAAAGTGGACAAAAATGCTTTTTAAAGACAGAGTAGCGCCATAGGTTGGTCTTAAAATTAAACGAAATGTTCTGTCGACTTTTAAATGTTACTAGTTACAGTCAAATGAAGAGCTTGAGCTTTATTTTTTTTAATAACTAATTCACGATGAAGTACCAGCCTGTGAGAAGCATAGGATTCGTTTTGTCAATTTGTAGCTTATAATATGTTTCACTTGCTCTGCACGTCAGTTGAATACTCACAAAGGTCTGCATTTTCAGATAAGAAACAGACATAATGCATTCATGAGAAATACGAATAGTCATTTTAAAAGCTGTCTTTAAACAGAGAAATTTCATGTTTATGAACCTCTATGGATGTGTGGAATTTAAATTTCCTTACCCTCACCCCTGCAGTTACATTTGGTTCAATTGATGCTATAAAAACGCGATTCGCCTCTGTGAGACTCTCATCGCGAGTGATTCTGGGAATTTGGGTTTTTCTTGGTGGATCACTGAGGAGGAGGTGAAAGATCTCAGTTAAGTCAAAGAAAAGATTAGCTCAACATGATTAAACCATCGCTCATGCGTGAATTTTCCCACAAGTTTCTCGTCTTTCCATCCGTAATTTTGCTTCATTTACCTGCAGTGTAATACCGTCGCATGTTTTAAGTTTACCGTTGCCCTAATGTGGTAAAATGGCCTGATAGAATAATGATGCAAAATGTAAATGTATATCTACCTAATATCTATCAATCTCTCTCTCTCTCTCTCTCTCTCTCTCTCTCTCTATCTCTCTCTCTCTCTCTCTATTTAAACGGAGAGCGATCCAAAATGAAAATCTTACAGATTTTGTCAAGTGCCTTACGACTGAGATACCTGAGCCAATCGAATTCTACTTCGTTTAAAGTAACGAGGTTCATTTATTATAAAGTTAACAGTAAAAATATAGACAATTTAAGTGAAATTCTATGCACACCAGCATCCATCGGCTCGATCAGCCTGGGTTTGCTCATTGAAAATTGACCGGGTTAAAGGAATTCAATCTCAAAGTCAGGTTAAGGACGAGTATCAGAAGAAAGCTTGTACTGAAATAAATTTGAACCCACGGTTATACCTTCTTCTCACCTACAGTTGAAAATGAACGTATACAATTCGTGAATGCAACTGAAGAGCTCGAGTTAAACTCATGTGACTCTTTCTAAAACTAAGGAAAATATATTTCGTACGGTTCAGACAACAAATTTAAAGGTTGTTAACTTCCTTCAATAACTATAACCTATATTGTGACTTGAAACGTCGCATAATAATCGTGATCGCCGAGGAAGATCTCCATGCTTGCATGACTCTACAATCTAAACGTCATTAAAAGGTGTCTATGTAGTAAATTTTGTCAGATCATGAAACATCCACGGTATTGATAAAATCACGATTAAGGAAGGAAACTTTCCAATTTCGTTTGCGCTATTGGATGCTTGAACTGTACTTCAGTCACAGCGGCATTCACTAAATCTATTAATGTTTACTTAAAATCACTGTCAGTTTGCTGCAGGTGATTTGACCTAAAATTATCTTTGGCTTGTGACAAGCCAAAAAAGAAATAAAACTCACGACAAGAAAAGAGAAAACAGGACAACATGCAATTTCATGACTTTGAAACACTAGTCCATAAATCTTTTCATGGGCAATAAAAAAAATCATTTTTTTCGTCGCGAAGTCACGAATAGCGCCCTCAGTGAGTTAGCGCTGTTAAAACGCTCGTTGATACTTATTTTTTTTCTCCATGTTCTTACTGCTGTCACTGTCATGGTTATGTCACTGTCACTGAGCAGTATACAATCTTTAGGGGAAATTGCAAGTGCCCACAATTTTTAGAAATTTTGGAAACAAGGCCAGACCCGGGAGTTACAGTCCCTACTATTTGCGAGAAGTGGTAACCAGTGCAGATAAGATTTTAGTCTCTACTTTTTAGTGAAGTGCGCGGAACCATAAAAAAAATCGAAGTCCTTCTGAAGGACTCATGAAAGACCTTTCGTCGAACATACTTCTCTTAGGTTACGTTACAGGCGGCCCAAGCTCCAGCTGTGAGATGATCATCTTGCAAAATAAGAGTCATAGCGAAATTATAAGAGTTTGTATGGGAATATTTACGGCCGCTCTTAGGAATAAAAAAATTGAGTCAAATTCTTAATACAAATATCTCACCTTACTTCCAAAGTGCATTTCTTGCTATCTGACCGCTTACTATGTTGAAAAGAACCCATTTTAGCGAGTTATTTATTATCTAGGTTTACTCATAAAAGAAGCACAAGGCTGCACACTCCATTACCGAATGCCCGATTCGAGAAGCGAAACTCCAACCTCAAGATTATTACGCGGCCAAAAGCAGTGTCCTTTCACTTTGAGATCTTTCATTATCTCCTCAGCTTCTTTTTACATCGGCCACTATTAATATTGGATGAGTTTGAGCATGAATTATCTAAACCAAAGCAGAAGGCTGAGCCAAATAACACAACCATGAGGTTTGATAATTCATAACAAAATGCGAAAACCGAATTCATCACTAATTGTTTTATTATAAACTTTTTAAACAATCTGAAGAAGAGGACACTTCTGTTTGAGTTCGCAGATATTCGAGAACTCGATCGAACATGATTAATGCAGTATGGGTTATTATGTCAACTTCACGCGCTATTGTAAATAGTTGAGCGAATGCTCACGACCAATCAATTTTCCATTATAAGTCTAAAGTATAATAATATCTATTAAAAGCCTCATCTTAAGCCGAAAATGTTCTGTCAATTGGGAGCATAATTATGGTCGGTATCATTTACGTATTCTAGAACTTTTATGTCTCAGTGACGGAGCTCTTCAAATGACATATTTCTTCAGGAATTTCTAAATAAAACCGGTGACTTTCTCATCAAACAATTTCGCTTGAATCCTAAACTTTAATTTTCATCGTAGATTAAACCCGTTTCCTCCATACAGGAACTTATTGTGAGACACCTGTTTTGCTCCAGATTATTAAAGCCATTAAAAACTTCAAATTCCGCTGAAAAGGTTATTTTTAACCCGGATTGATTGCTTCCAGAAATATTTACCCAAGCATACGCAAATAAATCCAGCGACTTTTCCTTTGCAAGAGTTAGTTGACACCCCTACCCCTTTCGTGGTATACTGCTCTATACTGTCATTTACATCTGCGTAAATTATGGAAAAAACACACACAAAAAAAACACAATCTTGGGTAATTTGAAGGCGTTGATACAAAGGCCAAGGTCTTAGTGTTTCAAGATAATTTTCAACAAGCAAAACAAATAAAATTTGAAACTGTCACCTTAAAGTTTAGATAATAGAAAAAGGTTTACTCAGCTGTTTGAAAATTTTCTTCATTCGAACCTCAATATCAAAAATTTACTTTTCTCGGCCGTTGAGTTTGTTGAGATCCTTTCAGAATTCATTTTCGCAATAAGTTAACGTTATATTTAGCAATTTTTTTTGGGGTCATTTCAAAAAAGGTCGAGCATTTGAAATCACTACTCCCAGATAATACATCAATTTTTACGCACGGTTGGGGGCTCTCTATGCAGTAAGAGAACAACTCTGGAAAAATCTAATTAGTTTTTCCATTAAGAAGAGTGATTGAAAAGCTTGGCAAGTTAATTTAAACTGCAGAGCGAAGAGGCGCCCAACAGACAACGGAGGTAAGAAAATCTAAAAGAACTCAATCGTTAAAGCTCTTGTACTTGAAAAACCGAATATCATTCTTATTTAGTAACAAAGGAACAACTGTCAGTTTATTGACAAATAAACTAAACGAAACAAATCACGGAAGATATAAAATTTTCCTTAAAGTTTTCAGAAGTGGAGGCGTGAAATAGATTTAGTTTTGCGCGCTCATCGAAAGCATTCCTCCCGGAATTTTTCTCTTTCTAATCGGATATGGATACTTCTCATAAGCTCCCTTTTTTTCGTTTCAGAAAATTTGGCCTAAACATTTTTTCCGGTCCCTATTTTCCAAACAGGTGGTTTGGGCGTAAAAGGACAGAGAGTAACAGTAAATTTGTACAAGACGTCATTCTATCGGTAAGAATATGTTTTCCTTGTGTCCTTCCTGTCAAATAGATGTTTAGCAACCAAAAAATGTCAGCTATAAAACTTTCTGTTCATGAAATAGTTCGAGACGAAGATTGGTTTCGTTGATCCAACCAAACAAATAAGGATATAAGCGTAATCAAAATAGTGAAACCTGCGATTTCGCATTCTCTAACGTAGTCGGCCCAAACGGTAAAATGTACTCGCATTGTGAAACTTACTGTAAAACACCTCGAGTTTCTCCATGCACCATGAATAATTGATCGAAAGTTGCTAGAAATACTCGACGAGAGGATTAGATGTTTTCGAAAGGGAATCATTTTTGAAGTGGAACATATCCTCAGATAGGTACGAATTCTTGGAGGAAGCAGCGTTTTCGACAAGAAGCTACCTTACAGTGTACATTATTTGCCATGTGGCGTCTGCGCAACGGCTTTATATGACATTGCAATCATTCGTCAACTCAGACATCCGTTGGAGAGGCTTGGACGGTCCACAATTAAACCTGCCCTCGCAAAGGGTCACGTGTGCTTTGATGAAAGGAATTCCGGACCTGAGAAGTGATAACCATGTTGGGAAAAAAATGTGATACCAGTATTACAGCATGGAATAAGAGGAGAACAAGCGGGGCAGCCAGTAGTAATACTTACGGCCCTTGCCTGAACGTGCATCATGTGCTGAATTTGGAAGAATCGTCAAACACGCAAGCAGGAGACTTGTGACGAACAGAATCCTTTTAAACAGGGTGTAACGTATTTTGCCTTAAAATGTGGCGGAAAGGAACTCTATCCAAATCGAGAACAAATAAAAAATTCACTTCACAATATTTCAGTGGTCACCTCTGCCTCACCCACTGAATGATCGCAAAATAAAACGTCGTGAAGTCGCAAATCAAATGCATTTATGAAATATGGCTTTTTGATAAGACAGATGTAATACAGAGCAAAGAAAGAAATTACAAATGGAATTATATTTTTTATCTCCAAATTTTAGCTGGGCTGCGTTAGTGTGCAGCTCTATGAAAATACACCAGCTATGCTTGTAAACCGAGGAATGTTCGGACACCATAGTGGATGTAAAACTCTGGAGTCCCGTGCTTTTTTTTTCTTTCGCTAAGAAAAAAAAAATGAATTGTAAGGTAGCTAGGTAATAATTGGATGTAAATTATCATTTTTCGTTGCTAAATTAAAACTGGCCTTCACGAATTACTAATTAGAGAGCAATATGACGCCCTTCTAAATAGCATTAGAGTGCTTTAGTCAACTTTTGAAACATTGAAAAGGTTTTCACTATATTATGGTTTGAGAGCTCATACTCGTATTAGAAAAAAACCATACAAACAAAAGAGGTAAAAAATCGGCGCACGAATTAAAGATGATTATTTTAAAATTAATACAAATATTGATATTCTATACGATAGGTGATAAAATCGATTTATCGTTAAATGAATTTCTCTTTTATTTTGTTTTACCCTTTCTCAGAAACTATGGTTGCGGCGGAACCTGTGCTCCTCATGGCACTGTTTTTGGCAATTTATTTAAAAGCATTGAATGGAAATTCCGGTGCCTTAGCTACACAAGGTAGGAAATGACTTTGTTGTTGCTACTTTAACGAAGGGTTTCTTTGGGCCAAATCAGACGGGTTCATTGCTTTAATGTGATCAGTTATTTCGTTTGTGGGGAACGGAAAACTAACTTAAATTTTCCTTGATGTAACATGTTGCTTTGCAACTCGTAACACCAAACTGGTATATAAAAAGTATTAATTAACATAGTAATCAATCAAATCTATCATAGCTTTTTAGTCAATGTGATTTTTCTTGAACATTTCAACATTGTTTATGTAATCAGCACGCTATGATTTTACCATGGTCATCATCATTACCATCATGATCATGATCATGATCATTTTCTTTTTATCATTTTTACCAAAAAAGTACATGCTGTAATAATGATTATAATATTAATGGGAACAATAATAAATAATAATAATAACAATAACTATAACGGAAAGAAAAATCTTTATTTCAAGGGCTAAAATCTATTTATAATGGAATCTATAATTCTATATTTTTTATATATGTCGATAACAATAAAATTTTAATATATAAATACATTGCTAATATGTTTGCTAAGGAAAAAAAAAAGATTTGTTAAAAAAGCTGTTGACTTTGATTGAAATAAGTAAGATTTATCTAGGCTAAAATACATCAATAATGAATAAAAGGCAGATATTGAGAAATGTAAAAATTGGCGATAAAAATACCGAAGAGATGGCTCCTTCAATAACGTTAATACCAATGTGATTGTCCTTCGTGTCACGCTGAACTTTGATAATGTTTCTGGAGCCTCTTCAACAGACGAGAGCAGATCGAAAAAGTGCAAACGAAACTTGGTCTCTTACCCAGGAGGTGGCTGTGGAATATTGCTCTTCTTTCTTTGAGGCAATGCTCTCTGCCAATCTACAGTGAAACCCAGGGCATTATTTCCCCACCCCACCCGTTGTCGTCAAAAAACCAGCGGGGTAAATGTTCCCCGTTCCCCATCAAGTATTCTTCCAGAACACTGGCGCTTTTTCTCGTTCTCATGTATCCGATAGACCTGTTGGGGTTCCATGTTCCGGTACGAGTCGGCATTAGGGTGACAAACCCTCACATCAAATAATAATAACGATTATAATACTATTACTAATAATAGTAGTATTATTACAATTTTTACATTTCTAAATATTAGCCTTTAATTATTTATTGCTATATTTTAGCCTAGATAAATCTTACCTTTTTCAATCAAAGTCCACAGACTTTTAAATATATTTAACGTTTTTTTTCCTAAGAAAACATATTAGTAACGTATATATATTTAAAATTCTATTGTTATCGACATATGTAAAAAATATAGAATTATGGATTCCATTGTAAATAGATTTAAGCACTTGAAATAAGAATATTTCTTTGCATTATTAAAAAAAAATACAGACAATTATAATGATGCATTGATACTACTATTTCTTCAGAATGTGGCGTTTTGGTAAACAGCACATTGAAAAGTCCGGGATATCCATTTACCTATCCAGCAGACATGGATTGTGAATACTCTGTTCTTATTCCACCCGGAGGGCCAATGGAAATATATTTCGTTGACTTTGATGTGGAGTTTCACCCATCATGCAGGCAAGATAGTCCTCTCTGCCACGAATTAAACATTTTTCATTGTAGGCAGCCGGTCCAAGAGTTCTGTGTCCGCTATTATGTTTTCGTGCTAGTTTTGCAAAATGAGCTTGATAAAAAATTCAAGTAAAGGTAGATGATGTAGCTGAAGCAAACTTTACAGCACTCATCCAAAAAATACAAGGAAAACTTACTTCAAACCTTCGTATCACTAGACAAGAAAATCGTCAGTAATCTCTGTTGCTTTCCTCTATATTAGAAACAAGAAGCTTCATCCTTAGCTGTGCCTCGTGGTTTCAAATTAGCTTAAGGACTTTTAACGTCGTTTCAGCTATCAGTGGAGCTTTAAAATTGCACCTTATTCTTTCAGTTTATCTTTGCTGAAGAGTAATTATAGTTGAGTAAACTCAATCAAGGATAATATGTGTTTCTGTGAAGAAAATCTTCGATTAATATTTTCTTCATTATAGTTATGACTTTGTGAAGATTGCTAATGATCAGAACTATACCTTTGGTGAATACTGTGGTCGGAGGACTGGACAGACAGTTGCAGTTTATGGAAACTTCGTCTTTATAACATTCCATTCAGACCCCTATGTCGAAAAAAGAGGATTCTTCTTTCACTTCAAAACGGTTCCCCCTGGTTTGTATAGTTATTAGGATGGAAATCTCTCAAAATGTTTAATGAAGTGGTGACAGTGTGATGTTATCTAAATAGAGAGAAACAAAATAACCATGTAACTGGAATGGTTTTTTTTATCAGCGGCATTAATGAACCTCTCACGGGTAATGGCAACTATTTCCTATGGGTATTCACATGATTTTGAGAGCAATTTAGAAAGAAATCAGCATGAGTAATTTTTTCAAAAGCTAACCAAATTGCACGAGCCCTTGGGGAGAGTTCAGTCCGTGGTCTATGAAAACTTTACGAGTTCAAGACGTCGTTACTTCCCCCCTAACCTGTACGCTATTTTGTTTTTATGTGCTTCCGCAACTTTCCTACCAATCAATTTTATTTCAACTTTATTGGATAAATTGACGTGTCTTTAATCAATAAACAACCTGAATTTCTTTCCATGAATGTTATCATAAAACAAATCCGGAGAAATGTCGTGTATTACCAACTAAGTCTAACTACTAACTATTTTGCATTTAATTTTTTTATGTAACTTTTCTTTAGCCCCACCCAAAATATCCTTGCCAGCGGTTGTGGAATCTCTCCCAGGTTACAGAGTGAAAATTCCAGTGACTGGAACTCCCCCGATATACACAGCAATAATAAGAAACTCTACCGTGTTGGTAAACACTACCTATATCGCAGGCTTTCAGTTCTATAATGAGTCAAATTGCACCTCTGTTGCCTTTAATACCTATGGATATGATACGAGAGAGTTCTCTGTGATTCTTAAAGGTAGGGAAATTTCATAAATCTGAGAATATGACGCATCTGAGTTAAATAAGGTTCTGAAAATTCTACCCCTACAATCGAACCTGTATTAGCCCCTTCACTGCAACAAGGACGTTCTGAGTACGGCCTGTATTATATTACTCTTATGCTATAAGGACGTACTCAGTACGCCCTTAATCATAGTGCTTGTATAAATACTTCCGCAAGTTGTACAAACAATCAAACCGCAAACAACTGAACCCACGGGGAATGGCGTGGTGACCGCTAAATTCAGGTTGGCGCATAATACAGCCACAGATAAGGGGTTTTAAAAATAGATAAACATTACTACTATTTTTGTAGATAAAACGATCTTCGTATTAATGAATACTACTTAAACAGTAGTAAAAATAAGGCCTGAAAAAAAATTCAGGCCCGTAAGAGATTTTGATCCCATGACCTTTGCGATACCGGTGCAGTGCTCCACCAACTGAGTGAAAATAAGGCCAGAAAGATGACGCTTTCATATTCATTTCTTCATCCGCAGTTCACATGATTTTCATATTTTCACAGTCCTAACTATTATTGCTACCGCCATTACTACAACTGCTACTTATTTTCCTCTACACTGAGATTCAACTTCATAACGTTTTTCTCTTTACTTGACGTCAATGATGTTATTAACTGGAGTCTATTGATCTGGGGACTTCATTTAATCAATTCTGCATGTTTTCCTTTCTCTTGCTTTCTTTTGTTTCAGATTGTGGACGTGCCTGTTCTCCGAGTTTAGAAAGCATCAGAAATGAACTCTTCTGTGAGAAGGTGACAGGAACACAACTTAAGATGTGTCTTTCGCCGTTGACGGAAACATTGTAAGAGGCTGTGAAAATAAGGCACAAACAAGCTTTCTAGTGCTAAGTTGAGTTCTGATTAACAACGCGCTAATGTTCAGGGCACTTGCACACTGACATGAACCTACAATAGACAATTTTTTAAAATTAGACTCATTATGGACTAGACTAATAATTATCAGTGCTTTGTATTGAGGACATGTTTGAGTACGAGAGCTGTCTTTTTTTCATTTCAAAACTTTAGGTCGTTTAAGATAGACACCCGATAGGTAAAGTTTGAAAAAAATATATCTGTGTGGGGTTTTTTTTCAGATAAATAACCGTAAAAAATTAATTCTTAAGAAGGTTGAGTAAACTACAACACAAAATTTGAATTGATAAGTTGATGTTTTCACAGGATTCTGAGGAATAGTTATATAGACTTTTTATCTGATGGATTGTTTGACGACTTGATCAACCTGGAATACCTGTGAGTTAACACGAGGTCTAGGTTCTAGGTTCTAAGATCGAATGTACTTGAGGTTTTCTGTAAGAGTCAAGAGATCAGCCTGAAATTATTGGGAGAACGTACGTCATAAATTGACGTAAATTCTCGCTTTTTAGTTTATTTAAAGCACACATGTTTGCTCAAAAATAAATATAGCGATAATCAATACTATCCGACCGTCGTCTCAGTGGTTTTTCTTTTATCATTATTAATACTAATTTAGGTATTTGCAAGGTCATTCCGTAATTTGCATTGCACATGCTTACCTCCCTAGCTCAGATTATAATGACAACTATAGGGCTAAAACTTAATAATGGTGAGAATAAGTTTACTTACCGATGTCAAATTTCGATTTTTGTCCTATTTAAAGCAGTCATTTTTTATAGAACCCAAGAATGTAGATGATCAGTAGCATCCAGCCGTCATCTTGGTGACTTTTTATTTTAATGGATATTCTTTTTGTGGCGTAATTTGTGCCCTTATAAGGTCATTTCGCATTTTTATATTGCACATACCTACTATGCAACTAGCGTGCACATTAACAAAATGGCGGCTTTTCCTGTATTGTCGGACTTTTCCAGAAAAGTAAATCATCCTTTTTACTTGCAAACAGGCGAGGTTGCCGAAAATGTAGAAAAAAATTAACAATTTTTTTCCTAAAATTATAGGAATTATATGGCTTTCTATAAAGAACTGCTGCTCTTTGACTAACTCTAAATCTCCCTTTTTATGCGTCAAAACTATTTCTTGTCATATGATAGAAAAAACCAATAGGTTAAGTTTGAAAAACAGAAAATGATCAGTGCAGGTTCGTTTTCGGAGGAATAAACAACCTAAAAAAAAATCAACTCATAGAAAATTCAAATAGATCAACTGTTAAATAAAATATCTTTTAAGGGCTCACAATTAACAAAAGTTAAGGTCAAGTTCATTTAATGACGTCAAATTTTACTAAAAATTAAAGCAGTCATTTTTAATCGAACCCAAGAGTAATGATGATCAATGGCATTCGGCCGTCATCTTAACAATAATTTGGAAAACCTTTATTAGCAAGTAGTCAAATATTATTGTCCTAAAATTATAAGAATTAAATGGCTATCTATAAGAACTGCTGCTCCTTAACAAGCTCTAAAGCTGCCTTTTTATATCTTAAAACTGTATCTTGACATAGGATATGAAAAACCCAGGTTTGTTTTCAGAGCAATAACCAACCTTAAAAACATTAACTCATAGGAAATTTGAATAGATCAAAAATTAAATAAAATAAACTTAACGAGTCGATGTTTTTACAGGCTACTGGAAGCTAATAATTCAGCGTTTTTATATGAGAGATTGTTTGACAACATGATCAACCTGGAATGGCTGTGAGTTAACACAAGTTTGTCTAGGTTTTCTGATAAATTAAGAGGCTTTCTCTATAAGAGCCAAGGATCAGCCTAGCTGAAATTTATAGTGACAACTCTAGGGCTCAAATTTGTTGAACAAAAGTAATTTAATGAGTCGATGTTTTTACAGGGAACTGACTACTAATAATTTACCGCTTTTACCTGAGGGATTATTTGACAACTTGAGAAACCTGGCATGGCTGTGAGTTAACACATGTTTGTCTAGGTTTTCTAATAAATTAAGAGGCTCTCTCTATAAGAGCCAAGGATCAGCCTAACTGAGATTATAGTGACAACACTGGAGCTTAAACTTGTGGAATAAAATTACTTTAATGAGTTGATGTTTTTACAGGCTACTGGAGGCTAATAATTTAACGTTTTTACCCGAGAGATTGTTTGACAACGTGATCAACCTGGAATGGCTGTGAGTTAACACAAGTTTGTCTGGGTTTTCTGATAAATTAGGAGGCTTTCATTGTAAGAGCCAAGGATCAGCCTAACTGAAGTTTATAGTCACAACTCTAGGGCTCAAGTTTGTTGAACAAAAATAATTTAATAAGTCCATGTTTTTACAGGGAACTGATTACTAATAATTTACCGCTTTTACCTGAGGGATTGTTTGACAACTTGACCAACCTGGAATGGCTGTGAGTTAACACATGTTTGTCTAGGTTTTCTAATAAATTAAGAGGCTCTTTCTGTAAGAGCCAAGGATCAGCCTAACTGAGATTATAGTGACAACACTGTGGCTCAAACTTGTGGAATAAAAATACTTTAATGAGTTGATGTTTTTACAGGCTACTGGAGGCTAATAATTTAACGTTTTTACCTGAGGGATTGTTTGACAACGTGATCAACCTGGAAAGGCTGCGAGTTAACTCATGTTTGTCTGGGTTTTCTGATAAATTAGGAGGCTTTCTCTGTAAGAGCCAAGGATCAGCCTACCTGAAATTTATAGTGACAACTCTAGGGCTCAAATTTGTTGAACAAAAATTAATTTAATGAGTCGATGTTTTTACAGGGAACTGACTACTAATAATTTACCGCTTTTGCCTGAGGGATTGTTTGACAACTTGACCAACCTGGAATGGCTGTGAGTTAACACATGTTTGTCTAGGTTTTCTAATAAATTAAGAGGCTCTCTCTGTAAGAGCCAAGGATCTGCCTAACTGAGATTATAGTGACAACACTGGGGCTTGGACTTGTGGAATAAAATTACTTTAATGAGTTGATGTTTTTACAGGCTACTCGAGGCTAATGATTTAACATTTTTACCCGAGGGATTGTTTGACAACTTGATCAACCTGAAAGGGTTGTTAGTTAACACAAGTTTGTCGAGGTTTTCTAGTAAATTGTGCGGCTTTCTCTGTGAAAGCCATAAATCAGCGTAGCTGAGATTATAGTGACAACTCTAGAGCTCAAATTTGTTGGACAAAATTAATTTTATATGTCAATTTTCTTACAGGAGACTTATGGCTAATAATTTAACGTTTTTACCCGAGGGAATGTTTGACAACGTGATCAACCTGGAAAGGCTGCGAGTTAACTCATGTTTGTCTGGGTTTTCTGATAAATTAGGAGGCTTTCATTGTAAGAGCCAAGGATCAGCCTACCTGAAATTTATAGTGACAACTCTAGGGCTCAAATTTGTTGACCAAAAATAATTTAATGAGTCGATGTTTTTACAGGGAACTGAATACTAATAATTTACCGCTTTTACCTGAGGGATTGTTTGACAACTTGACCAACCTGGCAGGGCTGTGAGTTAACACATGTTTGTCTAGGTTTTCTAATAAATTAAGAGGCTCTCTCTGTAAGAGCGAAGGATCAGCCTTACTGAGATTATAGTGACAACACTGGGGCTCAAACTTGTGGAATAAAATTACTTTAATGAGTTGATGTTTTTGCAGGCTACTGGAGGCTAATAATTTAACGTTTTTACCCGAGGGATTGTTTGACAACGTGATCAACCTGGAAAGGCTGTGAGTTAACACAAGTTTGTCTGGGTTTTCTGATAAATTAGGAGGCTTTCATTGTAAGAGCCAAGGATCAGCCTAGCTGAAGTTTATAGTCACAACTCTGGGGCTCAAATTTGTTGAACAAAAATTAATTTAATGAGTCGATGTTTTTACAGGGAACTGATTACTAATAATTTACCGCTTTTGCCTGAGGGATTGTTTGACAACTTGACCAACCTGGAATGGCTGTGAGTTAACACATGTTTGTCTAGGTTTTCTAATAAATTAAGAGGCTCTCTCTGTAAGAGCCAAGGATCAGCCTAACTGAGATTATAGTGACAACACTGGGGCTTGGACTTG